TTAAAAAAATAAAAGAAGCCAGGTATGGTGGCTCATACCTATAATCCCAGCACTTTGGGAGGCAGAGGCGAGAGAACTGCCTGAGCCCAGGGGTCTGAGACCAGCCTGGGCCACTTGGCAAGACCTTGTTTCTATAATAAAAAAAAAAAAATTAGCTGGGCATGGTGATGCACACCTGTAGTTTCAGCTACTTGGAAGGCTGAGGCAGAAGGATAACCTGAGCCCAGCAGGTCTAGGTTGCAGTGGCCGTAGCATGCCACTGCACTCCAGCCTGGGTGACAGAGTGAGACTCTGACTAAAAATAAATAAATAAATAAATAAAAAGATAATACCACTTGAACTGCATAATATGTTCTATTTATGTTGTGTAGAGAAGCTTATGCTGTTACGTTGCCAGAAAGATAAATAGGAATAATCATATTGCTTGTCTTGAATTGATTAAAGAGTCACATGCTAAGACATAACTGTAAAAATTCAGTGCAGGCACCAGAAGCCAACCTCATTTCTCCTTTTTAAGTCTGTAAGCAGAGAAATGACTTTTTAAGTCTAGAAAGTGGGACTTAGCCTGGGCCTAGTAAGGCAAATTCTAGCGTGTAATTTGGCCTACAATAGCAAATTGAACACACACACAGTATTCAGAAAAACCGACATGTTATAAAGTAATAAGGCTAACAGTTTGTTGGCATACAGAATTTATAAGGGTGGGTGGGTTGATCCGTCAACAAATTGGCCATTATTGTGGACCTCCTTCTGGCAGTCCACAGTAGGGTTCGTGCCAAGGCCCAGCGGGAGGAAAGGAGACACACAGTGTGTTCTTTTCTAGTCTGTCCCATTGTCTGCAACATGAAGGCAAGGAGAGTGCATCTCCATGATCCGAGGCAAGGAATGCCCACATGAAACGACACACCAAGAAGCTTCCACCAACAGCTAAAAAATGTGGTTGGGGTGTCATGGCTGCATGTGGATAGGTGGGGCTGAGTCAGTTCCTGGAGGTGTGAGTACAAGATTTGAGGAGGTATGATGAAAACATGGAAAATCACTCGTGCTTAGTGTGAGCCACAGCAATTCAAGGCTCCGAGTGCAAGGACCGAGCGAGTGACTAAGCATAGTGTCCTAAAAAAAAGAGTGATATTCCCAACCCCCTGGAAGCCAATTGCAGGTTCTAAGGTGTTTCCTCTGAAGCTAAGACGTAACAGAGTTTTGGGGTGGAAGAGTGCAGGGTGTTTAATGCTTCCTAACTAAAATCTTAAAGAGTTCTTTTTATTAAAGGTATACGGTTGCTATTGATATGGTTGTTTGTGTTAAATTCAAAGCAAAACCTCTAATTTATAGAAAGGGACTTCCTTAAAGTAAGTTTTAATTATTTACTCTTAAATAATTTACTCCTAAAGGATTCACTAAATAGAGCTATGTATTCATTCAATATTAAGCATCTACCAGAAGCTGAGGGGGATACTGCAATTCCCCCAGGTGGGAAGAGACTCTTGGAGGGAAGGGACTCTTGGCTCCCAGGATCCAAGAATTGAGGATTCCTTGTGGAATGTGGCTAGGAGGGTCTGGCAAGAGGAATAGTGAGCCACCTTCTCCACAGGACCCAGTCACTCTCCCGTATAAAAAGACTGCTGACTGGTTGAGGTATGAGGACAGGATTTGAGGAGGTATAATGAAGAGGGAAGCAGGGGGCAGGAAGAAAAGGCAAACCTGTAGGAAAGGTGACATTGGGAGTGGATCTTTAAGAGGGTTCTGTGGGCAGGAGGGAGGGTGAAGGGATGGACGTGGGAGGTGTGGAAGAGTTAATTAATTACACATAAAAAGATACGCATGGACAACAAGCTAGATGAAGGCATATCAATCCCTCTAAAGATACATTTGGAAAGGAAGAAATGGGTGGAAAATGAGGACAGTAGATCAGAGCTATGTGTAGAGTGGTGGGTCTCAGCCAATGAGAATCACCAGGGAGTTTACAAACCAACCAACCAACAAACCCAATGTCCAGGCTGCACCTCAGACCAATTACATCAGAAATTCTAGGAACAGGGTTCATGCACTGGGGATTAAAAACAAACAAACAAAACCCAACTCAAGTGGATTTTCTCATGCAACCAAGTTGAGAACTTTTGCTTGAGGGGGATTAGTTTGTATTTACATGTAAGGAAAACATGTATTAGTGTTTGTTCTATTGATGATTTAAGTGTGCATTTGCTTTTGTTTTGATTTAGAAGGCTGGCTAAATGCCACTCGATTAATAAACCCAATGCCACCCCCTTACTGTTACAGCGGTAAGGAGGTATATTGTGGCAAAGGGTCACCATTTTACTCATTTTTTTGGTTTCCAATGGGTAATGGTGGTTGCAAGGCCCCGCTGTGATGCAGGTACAGCCAGCCTTCTGGTCACAAAGGAGAAAGTGATTTCAACGAACTCGAAGAGCTCTTACCTCTAAAGGGAGTTACTTCCTGATAAGAAACAGGGCATCTAACCAAGAAATGCCAGAGGAGCAATCAGGAGGACAGAAAAGGAATGAGCCGGCCAAGCTTTCAGAAGGCTGCCAAAAGAGTGCGGCTCTGCCCTCTGCTGGCAGGTTCTGTGAAAAACACCTCCTAGCTCTTGGGAAAGAGTCCTTCCAAGCGTCTCCAGTGGGCAGAGGGAGAAGAGAAGAGAGCTGTCTTTAGTTCCACATCTAGTTGCACATTGAAACCGTGTCATTTTTTTTCATAAGAGCCCAGATAGCATTCAAGGACCCAGTTTTTAAAAAGTCTCTCTTATCTATTTTTTATTTTTGAGTCAAGGTCTCTGTTGCCCAGGTCCTTGGTTCCTCAACCTCCTGGGTTCAAGTGCTCCTTCTGCCTCGGCCTCCCAAGGCACATGCCAACAAAACTGCTAATTTTTTTGTATTTTTGTAGAGATGGGGTCTTGCTAGGTTGCCTAGGCTGATCTTGAAGTCCTGGGCTCAAACAGTCCTCCTGTCTCAGCTTCCCAAAGTGCTGGGATTATGGGCATGAGCCACCATCCCAGTCTAAAAGGTCTCTTTTAAAACAAAGCTGTCCAGAGCTTATCTGACTTTCAGTACTACTTTTTTTGTGGACAGTACCTTATTGGAGCAACTCAGTGTAGCCATATGACAGAAGGAGGGGTACGATGACACTGTTTCTCTGTTAGACACTTAAACAGCAGCAGTCACCAGTCAAACAGATTGTCTCCACCAGTCAACAATCTTTTTATACAAGAAAGTGACTTGGTCCTGTGGAGAAGGCAGCTCACTCTTCTCTTGCCAGACCCTCCTAGCCACATTCCACAAGGAACCCTAAATTCTTGGGTCCTGGAGGCCAAGAAATGTGCTCCGGCTTCCAGTCGACCACAGGTCAGAGCAGGCCATCATACACAGGCCGCAAGTTGAGGTTTTAAAGATGGCAAAGGGACAGCCCCTGAAAAAGGAGTTTTCCAACCATAGTGCTCAGCAGTGGGCCCCAAGTCGCCTCCTCATGTCATCCTCCCTTAAATATGCTCCCAATTCTGCTGGGCTTCCCAACTGTTTCCATTACGACAGAGTGAGCAAGAGACCACCAGAGGAGCCAGGCTCTTCCTCACAGGGCATCATACCAAATATTTTGCATTAGGGGCCCCAAGCCTACCAATCCCCACCCCACCCACTTCCCACAACACAAATAGCTCCCTGAGTTCCACACGGAACTAGCCAGGACCAAGCCTAGTGAAGCATGAAGGAGCAGAGACTGTGGCAATCAGATAAGGCTCAATAACTTAACCGTCTCTCCATGCCTACCTTATCACCCTGCTCTCTGCACTCCACCCTCCCACCCACACATGGGAGCCGCCCTAGGAGTAGGCGAAAACAGATGAAAATGGCAATCAATCTACACAGCCTGGTGAACAGACCACATAGCACTGAGGGCTTCTATGAGGTCGACACTCTCACATAATAACTCCTGGCTGAGAAGTTGTTTGATTGTTCCTGTTCACCCGGGAATACTACACTGCGCCATCTCTTGCCATTCATTAACCAATTGAAATTAACAGCAGTCAGGGAAGCTGTTTCCCGAGGTTAGTCACGTCTACTGGAATCCTGGCTCTTCTCTGCCACCCAGACTTGTTTTGAAAGGAAAGTCTCACTGAAACGTAATGCAAGTTATGGCAAGTTAGGATGAAATGAAAGTGAGGTGTTTTGTTTTTTTTTTTGTACAGAGAAGATCTTTATGTTATCACTTAGCTTTTTGCTGTAATTAACTCCAATTTTCCAAAATGCAGGAAATCTTACAAGTTCTCAAATGAAAAGCAATATACTTAAAAAATGGAAAAACCAAGACAAAAGAAGTCACACTACAGTGGTGCCCCCTTACCCACAATTTCACTTTCTGTGGTTTGTTACCTATGGTCTGAAAATATTTAATGGAAAATTCCAGAAATAAGCATCTCATAAACCCAAAGTGTGGGCCATTCTGAGTAGCATGATGAAATCTCACGTGTTCCACTCCGTCCCACCTGCAACATGAATCAACATATCCACGCTGTCTACATTACCTGCCCCTTAGTCACTTAGTAACCATCTTGGTTATCAAATCCCAGAAACACAGTCTATATGTTTTTTACTGTTATATTTTGGTATTGTTCTCAATTTTAGGCATCCACTGCGGGGTCTTGGAACGCAGCCCTTGAAGATAAGGGGGAGGGGCTCCTGTATTTCTAGTTTTGGCATACATAGATGAACACAAATGAAGATCTTCCCAAAAGACACCCCAGATTTAGAATAAAATTTTAGGCATCAAATAGTGGGGAAAAAGTAATGTTTTTCTGTCATTCTTACAAGATATTTTCTAAATGATCTTTCTCATCTTGATTAATGAACACTTATACCCTGATCCGATTTATCATTTCTTAGCTGTGGTTTGAAAACAACTCTGTGATTCACACTGAAAGAAGAGTTTTGAAGGCAGTTAGTTCCACAGAATTCTTCTTTGTTCCATTTTGGGAAGAAAAAGGCACTTACCTTTTGTGACACTGGCATTTTCAGATTATTAACAGTTGCTGAAAATACAGGGTTGTTTCCTGAACTTTCAAACATCCTTAAATCATCCCTGGAATCAGCAATCTGGAAAATATACAATTTGCCAAGTCATGTCTTCACAGTTATACTCAGAGCACAGTTAAATGTCACAGAGGAGAACCCACAGCAGAAGTGTGAGACTTATCCTCTTCTGACTGAAACCCTGAGCTGTTCACATGAAAGACTTGAAGCCTTCATATAAAACGGACAGCAAATCATGAGAAACAGCCTCTGAAGGAAATAATCTATTTAAAAAGCCAAAAGAAGAAGACCAAACTCCATAGAAAAAATTAAAATAGTCACTTGGCAAGCAAACATGAGTCTTTCCATGGGACCTGAACTTGTTATAACTATCTTCTTATGACCGACCTCCTTCAAGTAAAAGGCATTTATCAGGGAAGCTTGGTGAAATGCTGCAGATATTAGCGTGCCAAAACAGGCTGAGTTTGCTGCTCATGCTTTGAGATTTCAGGTCATTAGATCCTGTATTTGGATCTCTCATTTCAAAATTTAAAGACTGTGGTGGCTGGGTGCAGTAGCTCACACCTGTAATTCCAGCACTCTGGGAAGCAGAGGTGAGAGGATTGCCTGAGCCCAGGTGTTTGAGACCAGCTTGGGCAACTTGGTGTCTTCGTCTCTACAATAAATCAAAAAGAATTAGCCAGGCGTGGTGGTAGTGCATGCCTATAGTTCCAGTTACTTGGAAGGCTGAGGCAGAAGGATCATCTGAGGCTGCAGTATTTGTGGTCATGCCACTGCACTCCAGCCCAGGTGACAAAGTGAGACTCCAACGCAAAAAGAAAAGAAAGAAAGAAAGAAAGAAAAAGACCAGTGATGTGCATTATAGTGGCCAATTCTTTCTCATTTGTAAAGAAAACTTTTGTTTCTCTGTCTATAACACGTCTGCTGTGATGCTTGTTATAATTCTCTAATAGATGACTTAAAACGCCAAAGTTAGGATAGTAATAATAAAAAAATCTAGGAAACACAACTCTAGTTTCTATAAAAAGCTTGTCCAGGCCGGGTGTGGTGGCTCCAGGCTGTAATCCCAGCACTTTGGGAGGCCGAGGCGAGGGAACTGCCTGGGCCTGCAGGTTCGAGACCAGCCTGGGCAACATGGTGAGACCTTGTCTCTACAATAAAATAAAAAATCAGCCAGGCATGGTAGTGCGCACCTGTAGTTCCAGCTACTTGGAAGGCTGAGGCGGAAGAATGGCCAGAGCCAAGCAGGTCGACGCTGGGGTGACTGTGAGTGTGTCACTGCACTCCAACTTGGGCGACGAAGTGAGACTCCAACTCAAAAAAAAAAAAAAAAGCTTGTTCAAATGTATTGGTGTGATTTATGCTAATTCAGTTAATATAATTTTAACGTTGGGTCTTTCAGAGCAATTTGGGAAATCAGGCTTTACAAAGTAGAGCTCCCTGACTGTATAGACAATATATTGGAAGAAATGGTTTTTCTAGGGAACAGAGGGATGATTTGATTTGGAGCATTAACTACTATTGACTAAGGAGTTTCATTTAGGAAATGAGTGCTATGCTGTGGCTCCAAAAAGCCTCTCGGCTGCTGGGTAGAGGCATTCAGTGCCTCCCCCCCACACCCCCACCCTCTGCATCTGTAGGGCTCACCTTGCTTATATCTGACTCTGATTTACTGGAGCACATGCTCTGAAGTTCCTTGACAAGATCTGCTTCATCATCGGAACCCAGAGAGAGTCTCTGATCCAAATTCAACGTCAGTGATAGATCATTCTCTAAAGACCTAACACAAAGTTCAGAAAACAGTTTTTCAAAGGGAGAGCAATTCCCAATATGGAAATACAGACACTGTACCTTCTGTTGGGATTTGGTGTGGGGTAGGGAAAGAGTTTTTAACATCCTTGAAAGTATTTTAGAAATGTTATTTAACACAACAACCCACTCCCATGCCCTGAGAGATTAGAAGACTAAGGTAAGAAATCACAGGATTTTGATAACTCCTACTCAGAATTCTTTAATAGAATACAATTTTATTTCACAAAGGAATCCACTTTGGCTTACAATATTCCATGCTCCTTACTCTGTCCCAGGCGGAATAAAATTAAGATGCTAAACTCTGTGGCACAGGGGACAGGGTGATTAAATGGAATCTCAAACTTGGCTTGACTGCTTGCTGATAATATGGCCATGGGTCAGCGTGTCTTTTTTCCCTCCACAACGTCTCATTTCCTGGGGTCCCTTCTCTGTAAAGAATTTTTATGCCTACGTCATAGGGTTGTTGGGAAAATGATACAGGGCCTGGCAAAAAGGAACATGTGATGCATTCTTTTATTTCCCTCCCTCTTTCTCTCCATTTTCCCTTCTTCTGCAATGCTGTGAATTTGGAGACAGGGTCCTCAATGTGACCTGCAATGCAATAGGATACATAATTTTGGGGACTTTTAGGTTTGGGAACTTATTTGCAACCCGCCTAAACACTTCTATCCAATTATTAACCAAATCATCCTTGATACCTCACACTTTGTATGATGAAATAATCAACACTAGGAACACTACAAGAAAATAAACAGCACGTAATTAGAAAATAATAGCATGTAAGCATGTAACACCTAAAAATAAGTCCTGCTAAGTTTCTGTAAATCTATGAAAAAATCATCTGAAGATTAAAAGTTCTCAAATTCAGGATTTTACTATATCTTTATGTCAAATGCATTAGTAGTAATCAAGTTTGATAAAAAATAGAGTCACAATATTTCTAGCTTTATTTAATAAACTAAAAGCAAAATAAGTTTTATATTAAGTTACATTAAGCTTAAGGAACAGTTTTTAGATGTCACTCAAAGATGTCATTCATTCATTAGACTTCAGTTTCATATGAACATTTGAATGTCATCTATTACTTTTTCAAAGATCATACTGACAGCATAATAGTTGCACAAAGGAGAACATGAGACACTAAAAATAGTCATTGAAGTTACTCAATTTATCTTTATTGTTTGCTACAAGTTAAATTTGAAAGGGGAACTTACTTTTGTTTTGACAGAGAAGTGCTCCTGTTACAATTCAGCTGTGAAATAGTCTTATTTTTTATACCTGTTGAAAAAAGTGTAATCAGTTTCAAGAGTGGATCATTGCCCCTGTGCATCTTAAACTGTATTTAAAAGAAACAGACTACAGAATCTGCAGCACTGTTCTTCGATTAACATCTACTTCTTGAGGTTTTCTACAGGACAGAGGCTCTCAGCATCACCTCCTGCAAGGCATTATGGCAAAGTCAGGGAATAGCCAACTCCCTCATGTAGGTTTATGACTGAACTCAGTACAAGAAACACACCTGAGGCTCAATTCAGGAATCCTGAATTTTGCTTTTATCAACAGCTCCTCTTCTTGCTAGTCAAGTCGCTATTTCCTCAGGCCCTTGTTCCCAAAGTACCAAAGAGGAGTATAATACCTGCCTTTTGATAACAGTAATCTCCCTTTTTCTATCTTTAATTGCCTTTCCACATCACGGACTATGTAATTAAGTGTAGTTTTTGATATATGGCATTCACTGTGCACTTACAGAAATTTAACTTTTAACAGCTTTGCATTATGGAGAAAAGAAAACAAACAGTATACAAAAAGTCATGGAATTTAAAAACAACTTGCAAATCATATCAATGCTTTTCAAACTGCAGCTTTTGGCCCACTTAAAAAAAAAGAATAGAAAACAGCCTATATCACTTGCTGTAAGTATACTGATTTATATCAGTTATAAATATACACAAATGCATACACCTGTGTGTACTGGTCATGGGGCAAAATGTCTTTCTCACTATAGGTTATGGTTAGAACATTTGAGAAACACTGTTATTTTAGGCTACAATAAAATGTGTTTCTATAATGATGCAAATTTTATAAACGCATTACAACATTTAGTTGTAGCCGGGCTTGGTGGCTTGGCCTGTAATCCCACGCTTTGGGAGGCTGAGGTGAGTGGATTGCCTGAGCCCACGGGTTTGAGACCCGCCTGGGCAGTGAGACCTGATCTCAAAAAATCAAAAAATCAGCCGGGCGTGGTAGCACGTGCCTGTAATTCTGGCTACTCGGAAGGCTGAGGTGGAAGGATCGCTGAAGCCCAGCAGGTCGAGGCTGCGGTGGCCGGGAGCGGCCACTGCACTCCAGTCTGGGCGACAGAGTGAGACTCCAACTCAAAAAAAAAAAATTTAGTTGCTTCTGTATGAACTCTAACATTCTATGAATGTTGCCAGTGCAAATTTTCTCTGAAGAATGCTTTTGAAAAGCAAATTGAATTTAATATACCTTCAGTAAAGGCAGAACACATCACTGTATGAGTTTCTTTATCCATATTTTTGTGCTTATTGTCTGAAAACATAGACTAGTGGCTTTCTACTAGCTTCTACATAGGCACAGCCTTGGGCCCTGCCCTCCAGAAGCCTGGGATCTGACATCATCCGCCTTGCTGCTTTACGTCATCGGCCTTTCTGTTTTGGGTCCGGAAAGAAATGGGATGAGTTTTTACTGAATTTTATGACCTTCATAGTGATCTTCATGCAAAAGGATTCCTGTTTTGATTTTTTTCAATAGTGTCAAAAAAAAAAAAAACCCACCCAACCACTGTAATATTATGTCCAATGCAATTATTGAAAAAAAATGCCATTATAAAAAATAACCAGAGGCATATCAGCTAGGGTTTTTAAGCCTAACTACTAACCCATAAGTTATCTATTATGTAAAATTAGCTTTTAGATTTTATAAATCTTGATGTTGAAGTCAGTGTAAACTCTTGTAGCACAGTTTTATTCTCTCAAAGAAGTCCATGTTTCAAAGATTATTTGATATCATATATCAAATATTTGATAGCATATATATGACATCTCAACTGAAATTATTGAAAATATAAATGAATCTAAGATCATTCATAATTCAGCTTTTTCTTTTACTTTTTAAATTTTAACACAGTACAGTTTTCTGAGTCAGACCCATTTCTATAATATGGCTTTAAATGTACTGATTGTTTTTCAACTCTAAAGCATATACTGATAACACTTATTGTTTAAGTAATTTAGATCAAGAAAGCTGGTCGTAAACACTATAGAGATTCTAATAAACTTGAAAGTGATACAGTGAAGTGACTTCTGGGGTGTCCAGTTATCTGTGTCCATGGATTATGGCACGTCCACAGTACTAGGGTGTCATGGACTGAAGAAAACTGCATTGGGCTTGCAGATCCCTTTTTATTTTATTTTATTATAAAGATGTGGGGTACATGTCAGGATTAGGGACATAAGTGGTCTATGTGCAGGCAAAGCTTGGCCCTCCCACTGGTTCTCACTGCCCCTGGCTCAGGATCATGTACCTTTAGTGATGTTATGTGTGCACATCCCTCTCCCGGCCCCTGCATTGTCTCGCTACTGCTGAGCCCTCTTTTGCAGTATTATGATAAATGTTCAGGACCCATTTATGAGTGAAAACATGCAGTATTCAGTTCTTTGTTTCTCTGATAGATCCCCATACTTTCAGGAGAGGTGATTTGGAGTGGGTGCCAAGGGATTCTGTACCTCGGTTTTGTGATCTGTGAATGGGGATCATCATCACCATCTTAGAGCTCTCTTGCATATGGAAAGGAACAAGTGAAAGGTACAATCCTTGCTACAGAAAGTCATCAAACAATATTTGATATACCACATATATATCAAACAAACACTACCATGGGGGACTGGAGTCTAGTGGCTTACTTCCTGAATCCAGTGTTCTAACTTTGGGGAAGTCACGACAAGCTCTTGGGACTAAAACACATATATTGATACCAGGATAACACTTATCTTTGGTTTCTTTTTTTAAAACAGAGTTTATTAGAGAAAGAAGAGGGAAAAGAAAAGGAGACATGCCAGAGCTAGCATGGGCGAAAGAAACCACCAACATTTATCTTTTTAAAAAAGTATTAAAAAACTCATTTTATTCAGTGACTCTCCATCCAATCATTATTGAATCATTAAAAAAGGGGGTCACAATTTGGTATCATGTACTTGAGGTAGAGAACCCCAGCACATATCAATATGGTTAAAAATTAACAAAATATAAACTTAAGTTTGAAAATATATTGATAACTAAAAGAAACTTTTTATGTTTTTAAGAAATATAAGATTTTAGGTACCATATTTATTTATTATTATCACATCCACTGCTGTAAAGGTGGCATAAATTTCCACAAAACAAATACTCTGAGGGGAGGGGCAAGTGAATTACATAGATGAGAAATCTACCGTGCACACGAGGTGGGAACATCTTTTCCCTCTTATTCAAATTTGGATTTCCTTTGGGAGAAACAGCTGTCATTTGTATAATGGCTGATTATTCTTTTATCAATGCCCGAAGTAATAAGTCTTTAACACCAGGGATAGATGTGTTTGCCTATATTTTCTTTGTTAAAATGAAAATGTACATATTTCTTGTTCACATGTGACATCCCATCATAAGGAATCTAATCCTTGATGAAAATGTAAACTTTTGGCCGGGCTCGGTGGCTCATCCTGTAATCCTAGTGAATGAATTGCCTAAGCCCACGGGTTCAAGACCTGCCTGGGCAACTTGGCGAGACCTCATCTCTACAATAAACCAAAAAAAATTAGCCAGGCATGATAGCATGCACCTGTAGTTCCAGCCACTTGGAAGGCTGAGGCAGAAGGATCGCCAGACCCAGCAGGTCGAGGCTGCGGTGGCCGGGAGCGGTCACTGCACTCCAGTCTGGGCAACAGAGTGAGACTCCAACTCAAAAAAAAAAAAAAGAAAATGTAAACTTTTTTTGCCTCATAAGGGCAGAAATATTTGTTTCCTGCTATTTTCACTGCTCTATTTCTGGAGCCTAGAATAGAACCTGATGTACATGCCATGTATGAAAAAGAAATATGTACAACTGACTCACTCATAAAGGCCTTAAATGGGTATCAAATATGTCTCTCCACATTTTTTTTTTAAATGTAGGGTTGGTTTAGAAATGACACAGAAAAGGAGAGATATGCCAACATGTGATGACTTTATTATACAATTTTAATTGTGAACATCAAGAAAATCAAATTAATAAAAAACAAAGACCACGAACAAGGTAAAGATACATTTAATTTTGGAATTCTAGTATAAAAGCAATATTTTTCAGGTAGGGGCCTCTCAAATATTTTTAGAAATGCACCTACTATGTAGTTTGTTTATTCTATGAAAATGTGCACTGAAATACTTAGGACTTTGTTTTGCTGTATGCACAGTGACACAAACACAAGCACACTACGTTCAGAGACTGGATCAGAAGTGCCCATCCCCTACAAAGCATGATCGCCCTCTTACCTTCGGTGCTCAGGTCTGGCCTGCTCCAGGTGAGTGAAGAGAAATGGCTGAACTTCCTTCGAGGACTGGTGTTCACCTTTCTCCAGGCACTACTCTCTCCCTTCTTCTTGCTGCAACTGTTGTAACTTGAAACTATGGATAAAGGGAAACTTCCTCCTTTGAAATCGGCTATGTGCTGGTCTAGTTCTGGAACAACAAAATGATGGCCGTGATACTGCAGTTTCATTGAGACAAGCAAAATACATTTTCAATTTTCAAAGATATGGACCATTCAAAATCCTGGGCCTGATGAGTTACCCAAGCTGTGTTTTTGTGAACTGGCCCAAGCTTTACTTGAAAGTCTGGAATTCAAACAGGACCCAACAATTGAAAACAGAATCCTGGAGCAATGTTGTGAAATGTTCATTGATTCCTCTAATAATAAAGAGAAAAGAAATCCCTAAGAATAAATTCCAAGAAGTATTAGATAAGGGTGTGAATTTCCTCTGCTGCCTGTAGAAACCCACATACCTGCTCTGGGGAGGGGACAGCCATGCAGCACAGCTTTATTAAGCAAGATGCTGAGAGCAGCTTTGACCACAGCCTGCTGTCCTTGGCTAGGGTGTTTTTTCGCAGTTGTCTGCCCGGGGCCAGGCTGTCTTTTCACAGAGGCCCTTGACAATATTGCTTGTTGAACTCTGGGGGCAATGACGGCATTCCACAGCTTGGACATCCACCTAGCAAGAGAGGGCCAGAATCACCAGTTAGGAGAGGGACTCTCCATAATTATACACAATGCTACAAAAGGATGGCTTTGCTGACCATGGTGGAGTGGGGGTGGGGGACAAGTTTCTATAGATATGGTGCCTTTCCCCAGTAGTTTTGGAATAAGAGAATTATTCAGTACCAAAGCAATTTGAATTTGCTTAAAAAATACAATGAATTTTTTCAATGTAAGATTCAATGAATTTTTTCAATGTAAGATTCATTGCTTGAGTGTTTGCTGGATGAATAAATGCATGGAAAGGAAGGTAAATTTAAGGAGAGAAGAAGTCTGGAAAGCTTACTTTCTGAAAGATCATATCTAAATAGCTTAAACTCATTTGTCACATTTTCTTAATAAGGTACACATATATTTTACTGTTTATGAAATTAAGATAGATCTTGTAATCACTGGCAAATTAAATCTGCCTGTCTCAGGGCAAGGACTCATGGTTACACATGGGCTCTGTCCTGCAGAAAGGATGAGGTCAACTAGCTGTTGCTTTAGGAAAACTGTTTTTATTAGTAGCTGTAAACAGTAGAATGTTAGCCCAAATTTGGAGTACTCAATGCTAACTAAGCTTCTTTCAAAAAAGATTATGTATCGGGGTCTTGAGGCTCACACCTATAATCCCAATGCATTGGGAGGCTGAGGCAGGGGGACCACTCAAGACTAGGAATTTAAGACCAGCCTGGGCAACAGAGTGAGACCGCCATCTCTAAAAATATTAATTTAAAAAATTAGCTGGGCATGATGGAGTGTGCCTGTGACCCTAGCTGTTTGGGAGACTAGGTGGGAGGGTCACGTGAGCCCAGAAGTTGGAGACTGCAGTGAGCTATGATTGTGTCATTGCACTCCAGTTTGAATAACAGAGTGAGACCCTGTCTCTCTCTAATATATGGGGGTTGCCAAAAAATATATACACATTTCAAGAGATGTTATCTATGTATTACTTTTTGAAGTTGAATTGAATTACGGTAACAATGTGTAGTATGATGTTCACCCAACTGTGCTTCTGCCATTTTCTTTGACTGCCCTGCTTGTTGCATGGTGACGCTAACATTCATTTGATTAAGGGCATCTTTTGAGTGAAAGTCATACCTAAAATGTATGTACATTTTTTGGCACCCCGATATACATTTATATATATATATATATATACTTTGTAGTAGTAGTAGTTAAAAAAAAGTTAACAGTAATATGAATCCACATTTCCCAAGAAAGGAAGGATTTCAAAGTTATTAGATATTGGCATAAAACTTGCAAGTACTGGCAAAAACTATTACTTGGGTATTAAGCATCCATCTATTGTAAGCTTTTCTCTTAATGTATAATGATATGTAATTCAAGAAAAAAAAAGGAAGGACAATAGGTAATACAGCCTACAACATGAGTCAGAAGTATACAGTTATTCCTAAAAGTACTAAAGGTGTACAAATGATAAGCTTTGGTTTAAAAAAAAATCAGCTTTTTTTTTTGAGTTGGAGTCTCACTCTGTCGCCCAGACTGGAGTGCAGTGGCTGCTCCCGGCCACCGCAGCCTCAACCTGCTGGGCTCCGGTGATCCTTCCGCCTCAGCCTTCCGAGTAGCCGGAATTACAGGCATGCGCTACCACGCCCGGCTGATTTTTTGATTTATTGTAGAGATGAGGTCTCACTGCCCAGGCGGGTCTCGAACCCGCGGGCTCAGGCAATCTACTCACCTCAGCCTCCCAAAGGCGTGGGATTACAGGCTGAGCCACCGAGCCCGGCTAAAAGTCAGCTTCTTGATATGGCTGTTGGGAGACATTTCTCCATGGCATTCCTGCACATCTTGTGCAGTTTTTGTTCTGGATTATTCTCTCAGTCTCAAAGAGAGGGACAGTGTTTCCTTTGAAAGTGGTGGACAGATGTTACTGACTAGAATAATAAAGGTCATGTCTCCTTCCAAGGAAAAGGGTAGACCAAGTTGGAGTATCCCCCTTTGGAAGCCTTGAGGGGATGTAATGAGGGGGTTCCATAGCTGTGAGGCAAATCTAGCATCCACCTGGGCCACTTTGTGTCATGCTGCAAGACTTGAGGGGCAAGGGGAGTCTGTGTGCCCGAGAAGCTCAGGCTACCTGCCATGCTTTGAGTGTTGAAGTCATGTGTCTTGGACCCGGCATCTTGAACTGTGGCAGGCTAGCTTGTTAGCTTGCAAGTAGATAAAAATCTTGGTGCCTCCATAGTTCTTGACAAAGACCATGTTTCACACAGAAAAGGCAAAAATTGGTTGAGACTTTAGGTGTCAAAAAAGGCTTAGATTTAATTGAGATGCTGATGAAGGAAGTGGTAATTATATCAACAAATATATTTCTGTTTTTAAGCAAAATTCTAAATGAATATTTAATATAGTTCTTCTCCCTTTCTGACCAATTAGCTGTTATGAAAGTGATGGTTTGTCTTATAATAGAGAGGATATATTATTTGTACTCCCTGATTTCCAAAACAGATTTTTGCCCAAGACACCAGAAAATGCAGAATCAAAAATGCTAGCTAATCACAGAATCTTTACTAAGCTGGATGGTGACAAATCTTTCTCTCTTTTCAAGTTCCTTCTGATTATTTCATTAACTTTACTATACACACACACACACACACACACACACACACACACACACACACACACACACACATCTGTTCTCATAAGCAGCTTCAAAAGAAAACATAGTAAGTAACTGTGCATGAGTCTCGATAAAGGAGGAAGTTTTACAAGTCACCCATAGAATGTAGGGTTTTTGGGTAGGGGTGTGATGAGAGTTTTTTGAACAGAGAGAAAACTACTACTTAGCTCTAAGCAAAAGTATGAGGTCTGGCAATTAAGCTCGCAGACTTGACACTGTGTACTTATATTGGCAGCACTGTACAAACAACTCAGTAAGGTTTTATAATCTTGGCATATCAAGTGTCTCACAGCTGTGTTCGTGTCAACATAGGGTTGTGTTTTTGCTGAGTGGTGTTCATTTTTGTTGTTGCATATTTTTGTGTGCTGCTGCAAGAATGTCGGAGCTTGAGTTAGAGTAACCAACAAACACTAAATTTCTTATTGAACTTGGAAGGAGAAGAAGGAAATCAGGTACACGTTATTCCAAGTTTATGAGAATGGATAATACCATGAAGAAAACAGCAGCGTACAAATGGATTAAACGTTTTTCTGAGGGGAGAGAAAGTGTCACTGATGAAGAAAGGTCTGTGCAGCCAGTAATGAGAAGAACTGAGGAAAACATTGCAAAAATTTGTCGAATTGTGCATCAAAATTGTTGGCTGACTGTGAGACACATAGCAGAGAGACAGAAACAGTTAAGAACATTTTAACTGAAAATCTTGGCATGAGAAAGGTGTGTGCAAAAATGGTCCCAAAGGAGTTCTTGCATCACAATGTATCAGCTCACACAGCACTGTCTGTGAAGGAGTTTTTAGCCAGTAAACAAATAACTGCATTGGAATTCCCTCCCTACTCACCTGATCTGGCCCCCAGTGACTTTTTTCTTTACCCAAAGACAAAGGAAATATCGAGAGGAAGACATTTTGGTGACATTCAGGACATCAAGGTAATGTGACGATAGTGCTGATGGCCATTCCAGAAAAAAAATTGCTCTGACGGGTGGACTAGATGCTGGCATTGGTGCATAGCTTCCCAAAGAGAGTACTTCGAAAGTGACCGTAGTGATATTTAGCCATGAGGTGTGGAACACTTTTTCTAGGATGAGTTCGTTAACTTAATTGTTGGACCTTGTACGGTTGCCTTAGGAACCACACAACAGACAACGGTCATCCGCTGAAGGAGTGACTCTCTATGTTGGTGACAGGAGCCGGGTACAAGCCTGCCTGGTCAGCACTCTCATTCTCAAACATCCCAAATTGGCCATGGTTCTATTTTAAGCAAATAAGGAGATAACAGCACTTACCTCACTGTCGCTTGGGCATGTCCTGGGACTACAGGACAAGACAGGAAATACTTTGGCCCAAGAAGTGCTTCAGGTGTGCCCAGGCGGGTCAGGCAGGAGTTGAGCTGACGCCAGACGGACAAAGCCCAGTCGACGGTTTTGCATACAGGATCGCAGGGTGAGGGCACCTGGCCTCTGAACTAGAGAGATGGGGAGATGGAACACAGGGCTTGGTTATGAACAGTGCAACTTTTCCTTTTGTTTTCAAAAGTCCAAAATTAAAAATGTAAAGTCTTCCACCTCAGCTTTCCAAGTAGCTGGAACTACAGGCATGTGGGGGAAAAAAAAAGTAAAACTTTAAAACTATAAAGCAAAAATCTAGCTGAATATGAACTAACTTTACTTGGGACAGTTGAAGGAGGACACACTACTGGTGTGCTAACATGTTAGTGTGACAAGCACTTTTCTCATTTAATGCTCATTTTACCCCATTTTACATATCAGGAGATTGAGGTATGAAGAAATAATAACTTGTCCAAGGTCTCCTAGGTTATAGGTAGCAAAGCCAGGACTAGAGTTTATTTATTTATTTGTACCTTTTAGTAAAGTATCATGGACAAATAAAAATTATATATATTTATGGTGTACAATGCTTCTTTTTAAAACAAGAAGCATTGTACTCTGTTGCTCTGTTTGGAGTGTAGTGGTGCAATCACAGTTCAATGTGACCTCAAATTCCTGGGATCAAGGATCCTCCTGCCTCAGCCTCCTAAATAGCTACAGGTGGACCACCATGTCTGGCTAATTTTTAAAATTTTCTGTAGAGACAGGCTCTCGCTATACTGCCCAGGCTGGTCTAAAACTTCTGACCTCAAGAATCCTCCCACCTCAGCCTCCCAAAGTTTTGGGATTACAGGTGTGGGCCATTGCACTCGACCTGGTGTTTTGATTTATGTGTACATTGTGAAATTATTAAGTTAAGCTAAATAACATATTCATCACCTCACCTACTTCTCATTTTTTTTTTTTGGTGGTGCAAATATTTAAGATCTACTCTCTTAGTAATTTTCAGGTATACATTAACTTTATAAGATTTATTTCTTAATAGAAAAATAGTATTAGGATACCACATTCAGCTGAAAAAACACATTTTAGTTTTATCACATTTAAAATGAATCTGGTAATAACTATTAAGGCAAAGAACTTCCTTTTCTTCCTCAAGTTTAACATTTCTGATGATCTCTATTCAAGCTTCCCTTCCTATGGTCAGCCAGGGTTGAGGGGACAGAAAGAACAGACTTAGCTTTGTGGGTAGTTGACAGAGAGAGCCATGTTTCCCCAGTTACCTCATCAAGACCACTTATTAAACAAAGATGGAAGGCAGAGCTCTCTTTATAACTCCGTCCCCAGGGAAGCATAATTTTTCCCCCCAGGAAGATTGAATTATTCTCTTAATGTCTATCTGATAAACTGCTTCCCAAGATCAGACTCTTAGACATCCCAACAGTAAGACATTCAGAATCCCCAAAGGCAGAATATTATCTGCCTACCCTGAAGATGGGTACAAATAGGTGGGCGCCCCTTCTCTCTGAAGGACAGATGTCATTTATATGAACCTTCTCATTTGGTAAGTTAGCTGTTTAATGGTAACAGTATTTGTCAGTACGTTAAAAACTGATGTTTCACTAAAAGGACTATCCAGTAAATAGAATTCCAGTAAGAACACGTCTTTATTTCCTCTCCTTAATATATATTCATTTAGTACGAAGATAATTTTGTGAGATGTTTAGAAGTGTATATTTAAAAATATATTTATTGTATGCCTAGGATGTATTATCACTATTTATGACCGTTAAGAAGGAAAAGAGAATGAAAGACAATTTGTGTACACATGAAGTTGGAAGAGAACAAAAGAAAAGGTATGTGAAAAGTCTGTGACAGCAAGTGATCAGTTTTGGGGGGGCAGGTTTGACGGAGTGGAAAAAGTCACCCACTAGGTTCTGTAAATACCTTCCATTTTTGTTGTTATATTTTACTGTCTATAAAGTGAGAAAGTTGGGCCAGACTCATGACTCTCAAGATCCCTTCCAGATGAACAATCTTTAAGTATAGACAAGCCGCTATCAGTTCAAAAGAAGATCTGACTAAATACTTCATGGTCGGGAGAGACAAAAGGGATGAGGTAGGACTTTAGTGCAGGCTCTCCCAGTTTATACTGAAAACCTGGCTGGTGAAGGGAGGTAAAAAAAGTATCCCAAATATGGAATAATCTAATGGGAACAATTCTTTCTAGAATTATACTTTATAGGGATTGGCAGTTGAGGGAGATTGCCAGAGGAAGGGGATGGCACACTTCATCAACAAGGGTACCTGCATAATGAACACTTGTATACTTAACCCTGAATTATACCCCACAGCTTTAAAAATTTTTTTAAAAATTATGTTTTTTAAAATCAGGTCCCTTTTGGGTGGTACAGAGAGTTCACAAAAGGACAAAGATTTATTTACTGTTAGGAGAAATATTCCTCAATTGGTTAGAAGTCAGATCTAGTAATAGACTTTATATTTTTAAAGAAGAGATTCACATAAATCTTTGCTTTACCTAGTTATTATAATATTAAGATTGGGGACAACTGTGAACATTGCTATGTCCTCCCATGAACATAATTTCTCCAAGAAAAAAACAAAAGATTGACTCAGTGATACTAGCCAATCTGTTAAATTGTTATTAAATTATCTGTTTCACTGTGTTATGTAAGACTTTAGGATCTATTATAATTTCCTTTCTCTTTAAAAAAGGAATAATCATTATCCTTCTCCCACTCTCTCTGATATTTTTGCAGCATGAGTTCTGAGATCATGTATTAAAATTAATGATAGTTTAATATTAATTTTCTATTAAAAAGCTACAAATTTTTAAATAAAATACTATTGTCCTGAAATGTCCATTTTCTTATACCTTTGTAAAGGAATGGAAGAAGAAATTGTGATCAATTGCTAGTGTGCTTCAAGTGTCCACAAAGATTAGATTCTGTGACATCACAAGATTTCTAACATTCTGCAGCAGTCATTCATTCCTATTGTGCATTTACCCCCAGGGAAGTTTTATGTTTTATTAACCTACTTGAAGTGCTTCTTGGTAAATGAAAGGCATTGCCCTTTCTTGCTCTTTCTATTCTTTGCTGACACCCCACTCAAATACAATGGAAAAGAGCAGAGCTTGAAGTTTGGCACTTTCCTTTCAAAACAAGTTAAATCAATCCTTTTCAAGCTATGTTGATTAGAGAGCTGGGGGTAGGGAGGCAGGGTAACATTTTACCTGAAATAGTGCCCATCCTACAGAAAAAAACTGGTGCCTTTTGTGATTATTTATGTTAATAATGTTTGGCAGTGAGATTAAATATTGACAATGAAGAAGTTAATGAAAGTATCAAGTCACTTGAAAAGCTACAGACCTATGACTGTCTTTACCTCACTTTTCTTCCTATTCATTGAGATCACACAATGGCTATGTTTTGGCTAAAAGCATACCTTTATGACCAAACAACTGATTTTTTTTTTGAGTTGGAGTCTCACTCTGTCGCCCACACGAGTGCAGTGGCTGCTCCCGGCCACCGCAGCCTCGACTTGCTGGGCTCCGGCCATCCTCCCGCCTCAGCCTTCCAAGTAGCTGGAACTACAGGCGCGCGCTACCACGCCCGGCTGATTTTTGACTTATTGTAGAGATGAGGTCTCGCCAAGTTGCCCTGGCGGGTCTCAAACCCACAGGCTCAGGCAATCCACTCACCTCAGCCTCCCAAGGCGCGGGACCAGACAACTGATTTTAACACAACTTGGGATACATTTGTCTGATTAAATTAGGAATTTCAGATACGAATTCAAATCGCCAGTGGCTGGCACTGTTCATAGAAATACCAAAAGCCATTCACACCCACACTTCTCCCTCTGCCTCCCCTACACACGTGTGCACATGCACACACTCTAACACAATAGACACAAGAATTTTGTTTAAGTATTTGGTGGAGAGCATCAATCACCGGAAGGTAGCTCTGGCCATGATCTGAGGCTGAGGGGTGGGTACAAACCAGTCTGATTAGTGAAACATTACAGGGAAATCTTATGTTTCTGGAAGTTTCTGGAAAACTGTCTTCCTTCCTGATAAGGGAATTGAGGAAGCTGAAGCTCTCTATCCTTTGCTGTACCTTGCTTTCTGCCTTTGAACATGTTTTCACGAGGGCATGGTGTCTGAAGCCCTGCAGGCATGCTGCATATTGAGGGGAAGGTCAAGAGACTCCTTGGACCTTGAACCTGAGGTGCTGAACATCTACCATGGGGCATCTGGATGTAAGAGAAGGGAAAGTCTCTTTCTGTGAAGCAGCTGGCAGTGAGGTGTTCTTGCAGCTTAAGATACTGTGCTGATATGATGATGATACTGTCTTCTAAACGTGGTCCATCGTGCAGGATTAAATGACAAAATCTTACTAAATCGAGCTCTGTTAATTTGAATTCATCCTGACACTCAGCTAATTGCTCAATTTAAGAAGATTAAATTAAACAATGATGTGTTAGATTCAGTCCACTCTAAATTATTTTTGTTATTTGGGGGACTGTAGAATACTTATTATTCTGTGAAAAGTCACTAAAAAGTTATTATTCTTGAAAATGTCTCAAAAGACATAGAATTCTACTTTTTCATTGTGACCATTTAATATTTACCATAGCATAGTGTAACAGCTCTATATTAAAACTTACTTGGATAGATGGATGAATAATATTCTGAAGGCTTCAAGGAAGCAGTAAGTTTCCCTTAAGAAGAGTGAGTAACTACCTTATCAAGCTTTCTACAGCATTTAGAACTTGGTGAGATTCCTTGAGAACAGTTAATAACAATAGTAAAACCTATGGACTTTTTCTTGTACTTTAATATAGTGTAGAAACTGGTATAGGTTTTACATACATAGCCTGATACTACTAACAGTCAAACCTATGCGCTTTTTCTTTTACTTAATGAAGTCCAGAAACTGTTAAGGGTTTCACATTCATTCTCTTATTTCACCCTTGAATGTCCCCAAACCATATTTGCCCGCGGCCACACAGCAAATAAGTGGTGGACCTCAAGCCCACGACTCCTGACAACTGAAATGTCTGCCCTCCCAACAGGCCTTGAAGTTGCTGCTTGTACCTTATTCACAACCTTCCTTCTTAAGCACCTCTGCAACAGTCCTTGCATGGGCTCACTGTCCCACCGCAGCTGTACCCAGCGAAAGTGTTGCTGTACCAGCAGGTCGGAGCCCTGAAGGCAGGCCTTGGCGATGGTTCCCATCAGAAAGCAGTTCTCATGAAAGTAGTAGCAGTCAGACATTCCAGTGCCTAAAACAAACCAAAAGCAATGGTCCAACCTTGGCGAGTCATATTATGGGACATACGCAAATGGACATAAAGAACGAAGAACACGAAGTATAACTCGTCCTCTGCAGAACAGAAAGATGAGAATGATATTGTGGAAGTCGCTGCTCAGCGTGGCCTCCCTTCCAGCTTTACCTTTCTGGAAAGTACATGGGCTTTCAGTGCTGCGACTTTCAAGAGGTGCCAGAAAGTCCCCCAATAACTCAGACAATGAAGATTTTTCCAAGTTCTCTAGGATGATGATGATTTTCTTCTTCACAGGAGATTGTTTCACTGGGATCAGACAAGCTGTGATCAAAAAGGAAACTGGGTGATTAAAGCTGTTACAAAAACCTGCACAAGTTGGCAAAAATTTAAAAGTCTGAAGATATAAGTGTTAGCAAAGATGTGGTACAATGAGAATGCTATTAAATTGCTGGGGGAGAATAACAACTCTGGGAAACAGCCTGGTGTTATGTGATACCTTTGAAGTGATCCAACACTCCTAATTCCATAACCACATTGGGAATCAACCCAATGTCCATCAACAATAGAATGAATAAATACATAGCAGTGCATTTATATAACAGATATAAAAGTGAGCACATTACAACTATAAGTACCAACATGGAAGACAATCATAAGCAATAATTAAGAAGCAAAACACAAAAGAATATGCACCATATGATTTTGTCACAAAAAACAGACAACACTAAATATATAATTTAGGGCTTAATACGTAGGGAGTAAACTATAAAGAAAAGCTAAGAATTGATTATCACAAAAGATAGAGCAAGTTACCTCCAGAGGGAAGGGTTTGTGATAAGGAGGGGTACACAGTCACATTCTGCAAGCTGAGATTATTTTATTTATTGACCTGGTCAGTGGTTAAATGGCTATTTTATTTGTTGATTTGTAAATATAAGAAGTATGTATTTTAGTATGCCTATTTCATGATACAAGGGTTAAAAGTTCTTATATGGCCTTTAAATCATGCATATGTACAATGTTCATAAAAATATGTTGGCAGGACCTCAGGGAGATAAACAGATCTCTCCTCTCATTTGACAGATCTCAGAGAGGTTGAAGCTATTTGACCAAGGTTTCGGAAAAAATGGTAAGAAAGGGACTGCTGAGTCTGATTTTAGTATTCCTTCCACTCAGGATGGGAGAAATTGACTTCATATCAACTCAAAAAATAAAAAATAAAGGGGACGATTATTACTGTATTTAGAAAATAACTAAGTCAGTACACAAAGCATACTTAAAGCAGGGCTTACCACCTACTAAGCAGTCAAATGCTATTGATATTTTAAGGTGTATACAGGACTTCCTATATACCAATCAATTAATAAAATGGTTAAAATGACTTTCTATTTTTTAGACAATTCCAAGATGCCCCAATCTCAGTCAAATTAAGCTGGAAACAAAGAGACCAATTAAAAATACTTGAGAATATATTTAGCAAGTATCCCACTTCTTACAAATATTCATGATAGTATGTTTTCTATTCCTTCTTGTTACTATAGATGCAATGTATTTTCACTTTCAAAAGAACTCCTTGAATATTGTAAATGAATCTCTTCCCAGTTAAAACAGCTTTTCTGGATGCTATGCAATTTTAAAAACTAGAAGACTAGAAGCAATAACAGTCGCCTCTCAATTTAGTTTTATTTGCAGAGGGCCATTACACTAGTGTCTGGTGTGTGTTGGGTCCGTTTCAAAACAGCTATTCAGTAAAGAATGCTAAAATTCTACACTTCTCTGAGTTTAAATGTTATTTCAGAAATACAAGGATTGTGGAAGTATGAGAAATCCATAGTTGCTTAAAATAACAATGAAAAACTAACACACCTTATCTACTAGGTGATTCAAAAACCATATACCAGGCTGGTGTTTCTCTGTAATTGATGACTAAAGGTTTCTTCCCTGATTTGTGTTAAGTTTATGGCTAGTTTACATGGCTCTGAAGCTGCTGCAACCAGCTAGAATGTATCGGAAGCAATGTTTAATTGCATTTCAACAAATGTTTATCCAATGCCTCTTTGCTTATGTACTATTTGTTGAGAGTTATGACTTGCCGGAGGTGATTCAATCTAACTTGGGATGTGAGGAATTTTTTTTTTTTTTGAGTTGGAGTCTCACTCTGTCGCCCAGACTGGAATGCAGTGGCCGCTCCCGGCTACCGCAGCCTCAACCTGCTGGGCTCCGGCGTTCCTTCCGCCTCAGCCTTCCAAGTAGCTAACTACGGGCGCATGCTACCACACCCGGCTAATTTTTTGATTTATTGTAGAGATGAGGTCTCGCCAAGTTGCCCAGGAGGGTCTCGAACCCGCAGGCTCAGGCAATCCACTCACCTCAGCCTCCCAAAGGCGCGGGATTACAGGCTGAGCCATGAATTTTAAAGTAGGTTTAAAAAGTGGCACAGACAGAAGAATGGAAGCTAGGCAAGACTCAGTCTTAGAAGGGACGGGGACATCACGTCAAAGTCAGAATAGCTGCAAGAGAGGCATGATGGTGAGCTCAAAGTTGATCACGTCAGGACGGGGCTGGGAACCTGGGGTGGAGCCATAGGAGTGGAGTGAGACAGGGCAGCCACAGGAGTAGAGCAGCAGTAGAGGGCAGGCTGCATATTAGAATCACCTGGGATCCATCTTGTGATTCTCAGCAATTCTGAATTTTAATTGGTCCGCACTGGGCCTGGGGCATTGACATTTTGTAAAAGCTCCCAATGACGGGAATATGCATCTAGGGGGTGAGTCTCACCCACATGCAGCCTCAGGACCGGGCCAAAATGAAAAGTGGAAGACCCAAAATGTCATGTTAGGAGAGAGAAACTACTAGCTTTGGGAATTAGTGGAAGTCTTTAAGGAGGAGGATAAACAGGATCTAACTCCTGCTCTGAGATCCTGACTCTAATGCAAAGAATTGACTAGAGAGGAAAGAAATAGAACACACCTACTAGGCTCTTATAGCTGTGGCTAAGGCGAGAGATGACAGGAACCTCAGCCAGAGTCAAGGCGCAGAATGAAAAGGCAGTTTGAGATTGAATCAATAAATCTTGATGGTTGATTTATTGAAAGGGGGGCAGAGAGGGAGTATTAGAGATGTCTGTGACGTTCCCACCTTTAAAGAAGAGGTTGTGAGATTAACGGAGGTAGAGCACACACAACCAAGCTCGTACTCAGGGAGGGGTTGTTGGTGGTGGGTTAGGTTTCAGGCCTGATGTGTCTGATGCATGCAGCATCTCTTCACAGATAGCCGCAGGTGGTGGAATGTGAGGACGAGAGCATTGAGGAGGACCAGGCTAGAGATGAAATAAATGAGCTTAAGGGCTGCAGGAGGGTCTGTGGGAAAGAGATGATAAACTCATTCTTCTGGGTCCACAAGCAAGAATTGTATTGCTAATGGCTTAATTAATCCCACATTTATGGACAGTTTGTGCCCTAGGCAAAAAAGGAGGAAGGGTTACTGTTCAGAACTGCTGGATTAGGTTTCTACCTTATCTTTTCCTTGGCCTCCCATGGGGTATGAATCAAGAGTCCAATAGTGTGGGTTTCTTTGGGGAAAAGTTTCGCCTTCAACACTGCTGGCCTCACATCCTCAATTTTTCATTAGTACTTACTTCTCCATCTGACTAATTATGTTCAACATCCTTAGACAAATTGAGGCAAAGGTAAATTTTTAGTTGAGAAATAACACGTGTCTAGTTCAGACGATAAAGCATAGTTTCAGGTCTAAAATATTAACTACCTACAGAAACAGGAACTCATTAGTCTTGAATTTCAAGAATTAATGATCAGGGTTTACGCTGATGTGAAACGCCAGGCACCCCATCTTATGTCTGTAGATTTCTTTTTACCTGCGACCAAAATGTCAGTCACTCAGATTTTCTTTGCTTTATGCTACTTCAAAGCTCTGTTTCTGAAACTAGTCTATTCTTTTTTGTTCTGCTTTTCTTCCAGCTTTATAAGCTACATCAACCCTGCTCAGGAACGATGCTCCGAGAGTCTAAGAGAGAAACACAGGGCAAGCCCTCCAAGAGACTCCAGTAATGCAGGGTCCACAGAGGTAAGCTCATTTATGGAGATGACAATTATCATATTCTCCTACTATAATTATTACAATTCCATCTTCATTACTTCTAAAAAATTGTTCCCGCAAGAATTCAAAATATTATTTCAAAATACTAATCAAGAGTTAATTTTTTTCTGCTTACTGTCATTTGTAATTTTCAAAAGTATCTGTCATGCTAACCCAACTTCATACCTTATGCCAACCTGTGACCCAGTTCCAAAATGCATTTGCAGCCTCCTTCCCAAATAACAGTCATGTATTATGACTCTCACAAAAGGCAATATGAGGAGACAAATGTTATTTTAAAATAAATAAACACAAAATAATGTAAGCTAGCATAAGTGCTAAGTCATTCTCTTTGAAGTTTTTTCATTTGACATCCTTTTCTTAATTGGCACTATTTTAATCTCCATTTAAGTTTTAGGTTCTTAAAACTAATTAGATAAAATACTTTTGCCACTCTTCCTTTTTGCCCATACATTTTTAAAAATTCATTCTACAGTCATAGAGAGGAACAAATAAGGTCACATATGTATTGTGCTTAGTGGAGGATAAAAGCTCAACATTCCAATCACAGCCCAATCTAAGTAATTTAAGTCTCTTTCTCTTTTTTTACTTGTTTATTTTATTTTAAAGATGTAGGGTACAATTCAGGATTAGGTATACAAGTAGTCATTGTACAGGTAAAGTTTGAGTCTCCCTTTGGAAGTCTCTTTCTTAGGGAAAATAAGGTTAAAAACCAGGAGTACATATAAAATACCTCAAATATCAGTGTATTCCTCTCTTGTAGTAATGTCATCTGATCACTCTAATTTCTTGGTGAAAAAACAAGAGAGTAGCTGATAGATGACCCCTTTACCCTCATTATTCTAAAAACTTGAGTGGAACAGCCTAGGCAATCCTTTTGCCTCATCCAGATATCTGTCTTCTCTACCCTCTGGCCTATTCTATCAGCTCTTGACTAAAAGATCATTCTTTGCTATGTGATTTCTGCACGATGAAAGAACTGATGCCACGCCCACGGATGGATCCCTCCCTCTGGCTTGCTGGAGTTCCCTGCATGATTCAGAAGCCTCTGGTGTCTCCACCTCCTCTAGTTCTCTACTACCTCTGCATTAGCCACCTGTCAACAGCAGTGGGTCTACTGAAAAGATGGTGATGGTGGAGTGAGTTCTAGGAGATGAGGGTGAGTGGTTGGAGCAGGATGAGAGACAAGCCCATAATGTTCTTGACATAACATTCTGAGAGCTTTTCTTTTATTCTGGAGTCACTGGTGTATACCGCTGGGGTGCTGTCATAAGTAGTTCTGTATCCCCAAGTGAGCACCTGGATACCCTGCACAGGGCCCATAGAGGGAGTGAGAACAGAGGAAATATGAAGGGTTAATGATGAGGCCTCCAGTCCCTTGAACAAGAAATGACAGGTGGTCGAGGGTCAGAGAATAGGAGGCGGGTATGAGATAAAGAAAGCAGATTCCACAGAGCTTAGAGATGGCTGAGTGAGGAACGAAGCAACCTGAGGAATCTCTAATGCCTAGCTTGCTAACTTGGGCAACTGCAGTCAAGGTCTTAGCAGATGAGATTGTGTTTGTGTCTTAGTTTTACCATTAAAAGTGAAGGAAGGTGTTGATACTTATAAATTACTAAGCCAAATACAGAATAAAAATCTTCCTGCATATGAAGATGATATACTATTTCCTATTCTTCCTTCTTGAACTTAAGAGTTTTTCTTTTGTCTCAGTTTATTGTTCAAAAACTTCATTTTTCAAACCAAATTATTCTATCTTTATGTTCTGTCATCAATGACACCCTTATCAAATCCTGTTAATCTTGTTAATCTTACTTCCTTCTACCTCCACTCTAAGCAAGTTATTGACACCTGACTAGGACAAGAATTCCCTTTTTCTTTGCCTATGCTATTTCCTGCATCAGAAAATACACCCATTCATTTGACAAATTATTGGCAATTAGTACACAAGGCTAAGTAGAAGAATACACTACAGTACTAGCCTTCAAGGAGTTCATAATATATTGTGTGGAGGGCAAGGCAAAACCTCAAATTATACCCTCACTGCCTTGACATATAGTCGGGTGGGGCAAAGATGTATAAACAAAGTCTATGGCCATTCACTAGAAGATGTCACATCTGGAGAGATTGGAGAAATCTTCATTTGAGATGCTCTTAAAGTATTCTAACAGAGGTTTTTCCTATAGTTTCCAGATGGGAAGAGACCACGTCCATTTTAATTCCTAGTGTACTATATACTCCTCTGCACAGCACCTGCCATTTGACAGCCATAGTATGTGGGAGGAGTTAGCAGCGTTTACTCTGTGATTCTAGTGGAAGCTACAGCATGCACAGACATGGACAGTGGAGAGGAAAAGGATTCACAGTAAAGAAACACCATATTCTGCTGCGCACAGACATCTTGATACAACCTGGATGGTTGTCCCTTCCAAATCTCATGTTGAAGTGCCATCTCTGGTGGGAGGTGATTGGGTCATAAAGGTGGATCCCTCATGAGTGGCTCGGTGCCTTCTTGCTGTAATGAATAAGCTCTGTCTCTAAGTTCATGGGAGAACTGATTGTTTAAAAGAGCCTGGCACCACTTCCCCCTCTTTCTTACACCTGCTCTCTCGCCAGGTGACATGCTTGCTCCCCTGCTGGTTCTCCCTGCCTTTTGCCATGAGTAAAAGCCTCCTGAGGCCTCACTGGAAGCTGAGCAGATGCCGGCATCATGTACAACTACTATGAGCCAAATAAACATCATTCTTTATAAATTACCCACCATCACGTATTTCTTTATAGCAACACAAATGGGCTAATACACATCTATTAAAAAAAAAAAAAAAAAGCAAATGAATCAATGCCTCACCCCATGGAAAACCTTGAATGCCTTTGCTTAGTTTTTTGAGTAAAGGAGGGAGGGATAGGGGAGCCAAGAAATCACCAAGAGCCCTTTAATCAGAGGTCTTCTAGCCTGTGAACAATGCTCGGAGAGGAGAAGCAGTAGGCAGAGAAGCCATTTACATAAAAGCAAATGAGTTACAGAAAAAGGGGTATAGAGTAAGATGGTGCCAATCAGCATGGATTTTAAAAAGTGGATTGACATTTGTATACCTAACCCTGAATTGTACCCCACACCTTTAAAAAAAACCAAGCAGATTGAGACTGACTAAGCAAGATGTGACCACGGACTGATTGTGGGGCAAGGGTGAAGGGTTCATAAATGAGAGAAACTGGGTTCAATGTGGTTCTCATATTGCTTTTGAAAACTGGAATCGTTGGCAACATTGAAAGAACAAGATCCCAAAGTCTTTTGGTAAACACCTGGATTTTTGGCTTCTCCGTAAAAGTCGTAAGACTTCACAACACTGGATCTACCGATCTATAGCTGGCGCTGAGCTGGTGGCCCTCATGTAGATGGAGACATGCTTCCCCTCTCCCTATGGCCTCACCCAGCATGCGTCACCCCTTAATGTGGCCTGCTGGTGCTTATGGGCATTTAGGTTTTGAAAAGCTTCAAGATCCGAGTTTCCAGCATGGACATCAAGTCCTGGGCCACTCTCCAACTTGGGAAGTTAGGAAGGGGAGCTCTTTTTAAGATGCCCGCCGTAGACTTAGAAATGCTAAGTTGGTCACCTTTGCATCCTTCATGCCTAACTCATTGCTCTCCAATTTTCTTAATGCTGAGCTTAGGGTGGAATTCAGTCTGTAGTTCTTCTGTCTACCCTGATAGGGCAGGAGCAAAATAGTTTAGCTTCTTACTTTGAGATGAAAGTTGAAAAAATGTGGAAGACTTTTGTTAGATAACTGAGGGGGAACGTAGACATTTTGGCACAGGAGAGTTTTTAAGGATCGGTATCTGGGAGTGATTAACGTCAGGTTCTGAAGTCAGGCTGTGTGGATTTGAGTTCCATTTTATGTGCTTGCTGTGGGATCTTGGGGTTGGGAGGGATACTTAACCTCTTGTCTTAAGTGTTTTCATGTTTATAAGTGAGGGATGGTGATTGTACCTGCCTCAGTGAGTTGTGAGTTAATAAATGAGATGTTTAGAAAAGGGTCTACCAGAGACTTAGCTGTGATTAGTAACATTATCCGAGAATACAGCTTTCTGTAGTTCTCACTTTTTTCTAGTCAAAGACTGGCCTGTGTAATACAGTGACATTCATATTCTACTAGAATTTTCCTGCCCTCAAAACGTGTTTCTAGGTGTGTGGAATCTTTAGTGAAATCCTCATATTTCCCCAAACACGTTTCTTAATTTTATTGCTTGATTTAGAAACAGCAGGTCCTTTCTATCTTCCTAAGCCTGGTCTTTAGTTGCCCTGGCCACAAGATATCTCCCTCTTTTATGGCTCCAAAGATGAGATGCAACTTTCCCCCAAAGGGATTCTGAATCCTTGTTTCAGCTCATCCTTCTCTGATCTTGTGGCTGACTCCTTCACCCCTCCCCCAATTCCCCAGGGGTCTTTGTGGCTTTGAGCCCTTGCAGACTCAAGTCTGGTTCATGTCAGTTTTGAGTCACAGTTGCTAGTTACGCTATGCAGGGTCATACTAATTCCACCTGTAAAGAAGCTTGGGGTGTTAGGCTCTGGGGCCTGAAATAGAAAACTCATGAATAACATCATATTAATAAACATGTTTAATCCAGGTTCTGCTACGACACAGGTGTAGCAAGTTACTGAACCTCTCTGTGCCCTCTTCCCTACCTTTGAAATGGAAATAATGATACCTACTTGCAGAGACTGAATGAGTTAATGCGTGCATATGATGTATTTAGCAAAATGACTGCTGATGGCATACCAAGGGCGAGGTGGAGAAAGGCAGGGTGCATTAAGGGATGCATCAGTTTTAGAGAATTTATGAGTAATAAAATTTACTAAAAATTGACTTTTTTATTATCACCATGCTCTAGCAATTCTAAGTAGTATCAGAGATGCAATACCCAGTCTAGCAAGGGTGGACGGCTCCCACCACCTTCTCCCTTGATATATCACTGGTGCCAGTGATATAGTATGCTCACAACAATTCATGATTAATAATAAAAGATGAAAAAAGGAAGAAAATGAAGACTGTTGAACAAATGCAACGATATGCAAATATTCACTTCATAGCTGCTGAATAATTAAGAAGTTGACTTAAATGTATCTCCCCAAGCAACAAAGTTTATATCCTTTTAATGGCACCATTGAAGAGTGCAGCACGCCTTTTGATTGTTGCAACACTCCAGCTCACAGAAATGGTCTTACCACTATGGATGAACAGGTCTAGTAGCTGCTCCTTGGAAAAACCAGCATCTACTTCAGCTCTCACTATTTCACAGGAGAATCCTGCAGCCATTTGTCTGTGCTGTGATAAGAAACAGAATGTTGATTAGTTCTCTACCCATTCTAATTTTCAAGAGAAGGAGATGGTATGCAAGTAATCAATACCTTCAGGCAGAGTGCAAGCTGATGTACTATGTAGTCTTGCAAGCTTCCTTCTGGGCCGTGGAAAATGACATTGTGATATTGTTCAACCTATTAACAAACCAAAAACAGACCACAGGTGAAGATGCTACGTTGAGAAGGGGGAAAAATGGTGTGCAAGCGTGGAATTCCCGTTCTGGTTGTCCGCAGACTTTCAAAGGATTAACAAAAAAATAATTTAGAGGTTAGATTTATTCATTGAGCACCTGACGTCTTTCATTTTAATGAAAGACGGATAAAGAATATTTAGCAAGAGCTGATATTTGACGAAAAAACACACTTTCTTCCCTCTGTTTTCTACACAGAGGGGCGGCAGGTTGGCTGAGAAACATGGTTTTATTTTTGTCCATTTCAGATGTTCTGAGTTGTTTTCTTTATTATCCCTTGCAGATGCTCTTTAAATTTTCCTGAGGCATGCCTGTGGGAATTCCTGGAAAGTGGAGGAAAGTTTAGCTTGATTACCAGGAGTCAGACCATGGATAAGGAGGTCCTTTTGGAGGCCCCTGGATTTAGGCTTGGGGCTGGGTTTTAGACTCTGAAAAACAATATATCTGGTAGCCACCAATGACATTCTCTGAGTTTGAACATGATTCCATTATTGGTAAACCTCCAGTGGCAGACAAATGCATGAGGATAAACTGCAGTCCCAGGAAGCACTGCAGTGGGCTCCTGTCTCCATCCCCACTGAGTGCTTATGGGTAATATGCCTCCTGGCATGCAGCTTAGTACGCAGCTCAGTGTCACCAATCCCCTCCCCTCACAACTTCTTGCTCAGGTATTTCTAGGAGCTGCAGGAGAAGATCACAGAGCTGCAGAAAGCAGAGATTACACAGTAAAGAACAATGGCCCATTTTCTGACTGGTATAAATCTCGTTTTTTTGAACCATCAGAAAAATGGTAAGAGAAGGATAATAGTGGTTTTCTACCCAGTTTCAGGTAGGCCTCAACTAAGTGAGCCTAATATTGCTCCTAAAGGTAGTCGAAAATTTTTCTAGATTCTTGCCAAAAGGAGATCTCAATTCTGTTTTTCTCTGTTATTGTGAGATTTTGTCACTTTTCAAAAATACTCTGGTGAGACATTGTGTATTAGGTACACAATTTGCTAGCCAGGTGTAATATAAAACTAGCACTCTCGAGCTCTCCAAATTAATCCCAAACTGCTGTGACTTAGTGGGTGGAGACCTTTTGACAAGGAATGGATTGTTTCACACCAGTAAAACAGGCTACAGATTTTCAAAATTCACCCCTGAGATTTCAGCCAGCATTGCTATTTAATCTTGTCTCACTTCTGAAAACAAGAAAGAGTGCTCTATTCATTATGGCTATCCTGTCAAACTGCCTATTTCTTCTTAAGATTTATTTTGAAATTATCTAGCAAGAGACCCAACTTCATAGATAAGCTGCCTTCAATTTAAACACTTAATTTGTTCTTAGACTGTAGGTTTTTAGGAAATACAGACAGGAAATATCAATTTAAAATTTCTTTGAAAGGCCATTCCCTAGCAGTAAGCCCTTTGCATTTATATAATCTAATATTCTATGTGAGATAAACATAAATAAGTGAATTAGATAAAGAGAAAAATGTACAGACTTCCAGATCATACATTTTAATGCATGTATTCCATTAGTAGGTTTCTCCTTAGTTCAGGTATTACCAATTTTTTTGTTAATGGTATCTTGCTATCAAATGATTTAATTGTGTTGGTTACATTCTGAACAACAAAAACTTAGCTTATTTATTGAGAATCTGTTAGTCTACTGAAACTGGTGTAAACATGTAAAGCTTTGCAAAGAAATTATATATCAGCTTTAAATTACCATGTTACAATTCTCCAAATATCAAGATCTTGAGTATAATAAATATACACGCTCCACACTTCCAGCAGAGGGCTCTAAAGATAGGTGCATGCAGATTTTTGGGGGAAGTGGATTTAAATATTTTAATTGGGTTGAAAGGAAAACTGTTCTTTGAAAAAGAAGATCAAACACAACTTTAAAAATTACAATCTTAATTATACTTGTAGTTACCCGAATTATCCCCTAAGTACACATTTACAGTGTGACATTTCTGCTTATTAGTAAAGGGACACTGGCCTCATTATCACAATTGGTACCAATCCCTTTTATTCTTGTGTTTTCACAGCCTATTCAGGAAGCTCATCACATGTCAATCAGTGTTTTGTGAGGCAACTGGACTCTGGATTAAATGGAAACAAGTGACCTCAACAACAGGCCATCCATCCCTTTATTTCTTTTTCTTCCACAGTGTTTTCCTGCAGAATGGGGTTTACCAGAGGAGCTGTGGTCTCCACTACTGTCAGCGTGGCATCTGTCATGTGCTTTCAGATTTGTCACATTTTAAAGCAACAAGCCTCAACTTTTGTTCAGAGTTTCACTTGTCTTACATAGTCTGAGGAAAAGTTTCTGTCCAGAGATAGTTTTAAGCAGTTTTGTGCTGAGATACTGCACTCAAAAAAGAAAAAAATAAAATAAAATAAAAAGACTTTATGGAGCCAAGAAAATTGGGATGGCTATAACTTAATGTCACATGCTTTATAGCCAGAAATGTCATTCTCACCTCTTCTGAAACTCAATTTTAAAGAACTAACTTATGTACACCTTTAGAGCTGCCAATAACACAATTACTCTCAATTTATTTATATAAAATTATCTGAAACAATATATTGGCATATTGAGCATTGAGAATATAAAAAACTGAAATCCTTTATGTTAGAAAGAGTTTTAACCATTTGTTGAAGTCCCTCTTTATAGAATAGGCACAAGGGAGTGATGGGAATTCTAGAGAAATTTACAGTTCACACACACAGAGACATATATACACTGTTTTTGTTTGTTTGTTTTGTTTTAATTCGCTCACTAAAACTGTATAAGCCAATATCAGACCCTGGTTACTAAGGTCAAATAAAGGCAGATCCTCATTTATTGACACAGATACAATAACTCGGGCATTGTAACAATTTAACAAAAATAAAACTATAAGCTGTAACTCTCAGACATAACTGCTCCCTTGTCAGCGGACCTCTAGCATTTGTGAGCTCCTCCTGCTCCAGAACTCCTCTGGGCTGACATCTGTCCTACTGCCTAGAATCTTCTTCCACTATTGCCGTGGATACCATAGGTTCCACTGGTGTTGGAGCCACCTCTTCCTCATACTATGCAACCATCTTCCTGCTTTCACTAGGACCTCCCCCAGCCTTGCTCCTCCATGTCCTGAAAAAGATCTGGCCACCCGCATAAGGTATTGACAGAGCTTTTGTTTGCTGTCTTAGACACATAACCATCACTTGCAAAATCATTTTTACAGGTAAGTAGTGCATTTACTTTGAGAACGTATGAAGGGTAAGCAGACACTCCCAGTGATGATTCCTAATGATGACTGTGGCACACACGGAAGTGGGTGGACAACAGGGGAAGAATCTCACGATCACAACCTAGAGGATGCAGAGTCCTACATTTTAAAGTAGGACTCAGATTAGGATGATCTACCCAAGTATTTTTCTAATAAAATAATTATTCATAGTTACTGAAATATTAAGATACAAGGTTGCAGATAAGCTAATAAAATTGCAAACTGGCTAAAAGAAACATCTGCCTTACTGCAAAAAGTTCAGTCATTACAATAAATCATTACTGATTTAAACTCAATCAGGTTGAATATTTCCTTTAATAACTCAAGGTTGGAGATTTAAAATTTATTCTTATTGTCTTAACAATTCAGTGAATATATGTCAAATAATATCATTTAAAAGCACACAGAAACAAAAAGACTGATTTAAAGTCTTCATTCCATGTGGTTTTCTGCATAAGCCTTTTAATACATGTATTTCATATAATACAATTGTACTACACAGTAACAGTTACTGCAATGCCTACTTAATCAACCGGCTAATACCCAGCGTAAACTATGATGACATGCATGAGAATTGCAGACAACCCAGGTTCAGCTCCTCAGGTCCTACCAGCTAATTGCTGAGGACTTTGGGTAAGTTACTTTGAGCCTTGGTTTATTCACCTATAACATGTAAATGGTGTAGGGTACCCATCTCATAAAAGGATTAAATGAGACAATCCGTATACCTAGAATAGAGCCTGGCATGTAAGTGCTCGGAAAAAAGTCAGCTATTGTGATGTGTGCACATCTACTATATAGATTCCCAACAATTCAAACACATCAACATACCTCGTGATTTATGGCGTGGGGAGGGGGGCTAGGCCACTCTGTGGCTTGAATTCCCCCAATGGCTTCCTACCCACCTGGAATAAAATTCAAAGTCGTTGCCATGTGCCTGCATGTCTAGCTTCTGGTCATTTCTCAGACCTCACTGCCAGTCTAGAGATCTTAGCATCTGCTATTCCCTCTGCCTCAAATGTCCTCTGCAAGGTCACTTCCTTCACTTCAATTGGTTTTCTGTTCAAATGTCACGACAAAAAGATCTTTCCAGACAACTTTATCTAAAAATAGCACTTTCTGCCTCCCCTTCCACCTACTCTTTGTCTCCTTATCTGCTGTGTTTTTCTTCTTTTCTTCACACTTGTATTAGTGCTGGATGACACATTACACACGCATTTATTCATTTTTTAAAAAAATCTGTCCTCTGCCACTAGAAGGTAAACTCTATGAGGCCAGGGAATGTGTTTTATACATAGCTATGTCTTAAGCTTCTAAACACTGCCTGTAAACAGTTGTCAAACAATTGAATCAAATAACAGGGCACCAAAAATGTACACAGTTGATCACTTTAAGGGGCTTATAATTTTGTATAAAAGAGGAAACATTCACAGCCACTATAATATACGATTGCCTCAGTTAATTTAAGTTTTCCAGTGACTGCTGAAATGAGTGATACATTTTTATTATATTAATCCAAGAGCTAATGGTTAGATTAAAAAACCTTATTATGGCAACTCACAAGATTGAGATTAGAACTATCAACAATGTTGGGTCTCTGGTTTACTGGTCACTGGTAGTCAAATTATGACTTATGTGTTAGGAGGCACATATAGTGTAGACGGAATATTCCACATATAACGTGACCAGCAGACATTTCATTTCACAGGTTAGCTGGTCAATGCTAATTTGCGGTTGTAATTCAGTGGCATGGCTGGACGGAGTGGGTGAACAGTCCTGGGCCAGAACCTTGCCTGGTAAAGAACAGCTGAGAGGGGAAAAGAAAGAGAAGGAAGTGGTTCTACCAGCTGGTTCAACTGAGAGCCTGAGGCTCACATTCCTGAAAACCAGTTGGTCCCACCCTTCAACCTTCACTCAATCTCTCCATCTCATCATACACAACCCTCGGGCATGCTTTGATGCTTTAGGGGAAGGGAAGCAAAGAGCAAAGAAGTGAAAGTGTCAGATTCAGAAGACACCACCTCTCCCACATTGTGAGACTTTGAATGTTCAAATGCTACCGTGGATGCCAGTACAAAGGCTAATACACGTGGAGCCTAGCTAGAAGATCACTGGAATGGTTTTGAATGCTTTCTTTTCATCAGGGGTGAAAACAAAGACATCAATTCACACTTTATGGAAACAACTTTTGTACGGGGGTCATAAACCAATCATTCATTTTAAATAAAGAAGCCCATCTAAGTTAAGGCAGCAAGCAAAATCATCGTTTCCTTAATGTTTTATACCATTAGTCATTGATAGATCTCAGAAACAGACACAACTGGAATGTGTACAATTCTGGCTTCAGCACTTTCTAGATATGTGGCTTTGAGCATTTTACCTCCCTCTGCTTCCGTTTCCTCATCTATAAAATGGATGAAATTATCTCACAAGGATATTCTGAGAACTAAATAAAATAAGACACATAAAAGCACCCAGCATATTGCCTGGTATGTGATAAGGATTTAATGAGTGAAAAGCACTACATTTATCCATTTTTTACCTAGCATTTGCTACTTTCTCTTGATAATCTTAGTCCCCTTCTTTCTTTCAGTAACAGACTGACTAGTTTTAGGGTGCATGACTGCCCAGCAAAAGACCACACTTCCCACTGAGGTGTACACAGGTATATAAGTTCTTGTCAACCAGATGTGGGCAGGAATGACTAGTACAACTTCCTTGAAAGGAAGGGACCTTCCCTCTAGATTCTCTTCCCTTGGGCTAGGAAGTGGTGACTGCATTTGACCAAAAGACCAACATCCTAGGGAATAGTGGAATAGAGGGAGAAGGTGCTGAGACTCTGGACAGGTTACCCTACCCCTTCTCCCTTGCCAGACCTCTTACCTGCTGGGCCTTACCTGTTTGAGAAAACAGGTATAACTATTCTATCCTGCTTAAGGTATAACTATTCGATTCCTGTTAAAGTAGTCAATGAACCTTCTAACTCATGCTGGCATCTTGACTTAATATTAAATTATAAAAGTTTACAGCAAGGCATCTTGATATTTATGACCATCCCTTCCACAATGATGATTGTTTATTTGCTGTTGAGTCCTTGTTAAGGGAAGACAACCTCCTCCTCCCAAATTATAACACTTCACAACTCACAGGTGGTCTCTGGGTCCAAGCAATAGGCACCTGGATGACAGTGACAGAAGTCCAAACTAAGTGACAGGTAGCATGACAGAGAGGGGGCTGGAGGGGTAGGTCATGGTGTCACAGCACAGGGTCCAGGGTAGACGCAGGCTCATACTCCTCTTCTAAGCATAAAAATGGGCGACCCATTATTCCAGTGGCGGAGATGGGAAGCCTCAATCTCCACACAGCAGTGTCAACCTACCAGCCTGAGGTAGTTCTGCAGCAACTGAAGAGGGATCATGGATGCATAAGTCACACTACTGAGGCAGCCTTCTTGAGGACCTGTAAGATACAAATAACAGAGAAGAAAAGTTGGCTTTTCCTCATTAAATATGAAAGGAGGCCCCCCCAAAACCTAGAATTATCTTTTGTAGGGCAAGTTCCTTGTAGTACAGGCTTCCCCTGCTACATAACTGTTCTAGGAACCCCTCGGTTTTTATCTGGAAGTTTTGGGAATGTTGCATCACAATGTGAAAGAAATGTCCTGAATTGTGCCAAACAGATGACTGGTTCTTCCACCATGACAACGCACCTGCCCATACGATGCTGAGTATTTAGCAGTTTTTGACCAATAAGCAACATGACCCCTGTGTCCCACCCTCCCTATTCACCTGATCTTTCCCCGAGTGATGTTTTTTTGTTTGTTTGTTTCCTGGATGAAAATAAGTCCTCAAAGGGAAATGTTTTGCCTATGTGGAAGAGGGCAAACAAAAAGCAGCAGAAGCACTCTTAGTGTTTTAGGTGTCAAAATCGATGAATTCAAAAACTGTTTTTAACAGCGGAAAAAGTATCTCAATAGGTGTATTACATCAAAAGGAGAGTACTTTGAAGGTGACTGAAGTTTAAGCATATAGGAATACATAATTTTTTTACAAATAAATTGTTTTTTTGGGGGGTACCTCTTTATATAAATGATCACAACACAACAGACTCTATCATAGAAGATGCAATATGTTTGTTGACTTATGTAGGCAGAGCTGACATTTGACCAGGAGGTGCCAGTGTGCCTTTCCCTTGTGAAAATATTGTTGCACTTTGTACTGGCTGGCAAACAGTCATTGCTCCCATCCTGGCACAGTCTCTTAGCTGTTCCTTCTCTCCCCTGGGAAGCCTACCCACCTCCCAGCAATCCCAGTCACAGCCTCCAGTTTCTGGCCCTAACCCGGTAGCTGGTATTGCTCATTGCTGGGCTCCATGTTTTATTGTCTATAAGTAAAAATTATCACAGATAATTGTAATCCTCAGAAAGCTTTATCCTTTGCCAACATTAATACACAGGTTTGAGGGGTCTTCTCTTAGGTCCATTTGCAACCCTGCCCCCCATCCCTAAGTTATTCTACTTTCTCAACACATTGTTTGTGCCTAAAGGAATTTTATGGGGTGGCCTCACACTTTTTAAAAAAACTTAAGTAAGTCTAGTTCAAATAATAAAACTTTATTAGTTGAGATAGAATTTGTTTTTTTTTTTGAGTTGGAGTCTCACTCTGTCACCCAGCCTTGACCTGCTAGCTCAGGCAATCCTTCCGCTACAGCCTTCCAAGTAACTACAACTACAGGCATGTGCCATCATGCCCAGCTAATTTTTTTTGATTTATCGAGAGACAAGGTCTTGCCATATTGCCCAGACTGGTCTCAAACCTGTGGGCTCAGGCAATCCTCTTGCCTCTGCCTCCCAAAGTGCTGGGATTATAGATGTGAGCTGCCACTCCTGGGTGAGATGGAATTTTTAATGACTCAGTTCCCTAGTTTGAGAAATACATGATGAAATCAGTATACTTTTAGCATCAATGGCTGAGCAATGAAATATTCTTATAACACTTACTGGCAGCATTCCTCAGGCAAGAATATTAACCTATCTGAGCCTCAATTTTCTTGTATATAAGATGGAGATAAACAGAAATACATATCTCATTGGGTTGTTATGAGGATTAAATGACTTGATACTTGTAATAGGCTACAAACAACAGAGTCTATCACATAGTAGGTGTTCACTAAGCATTAGCCTGTGCCATTATAATAATCATATTAAGAATACACTGTACTTGGCAGTAACAAAAGACCATCACCCTCTTGTCTGCATGTCAGTTCAGCCTCTGTTTGTTTCTTACGGGGGATGCAATCAAGATGGCAGGAATAAATGATCCAGACAGACATCATCACAGGTGTCAGGAGCACAGATTTTGAATTTTCCTCCCCTTAGTTAAACGTTTCAAAAAACATCTGATTACCTAGTTGTGGGAATCACACACGCACGGTTGGAGGACATAGGACAAACATGCAAGCTTCAGAACCAGTACTGTGAGCCAGTCATGAAGCAAATACTCTAAATATCACCTTGGTTAGGAACTTCGTTACCTGACAAAAGCACCGTGACCTGCTCTGCCTTATGCTTCCTCATGAAGTCCCACGGGGACTGGGTGAAGCTCTGACCGGTTGACCATGGCACATTTCCTAGTTCCAAAAAATGAAATAAAACGTCAAGAGCAGCTTCACAGGAGTTTTTCTCATAAGGGTAAATGAGGATTTTTCTCATAGGGATAAATATGCTCTCCTCTGTGAGAACCCTAGAGAATCCAGAGTTTAAACTATTAAACTATATAGGGTCATGTATACATGTATAGGGTCACACAAGGGGTTATATGTAAGGTCAGGGATATATATATAATTTCATTAGGGAACTAACTCCTTGTGTGACCCTATACATGTGTATAGGGTCACACAAGGAGTTAGTTCCCTAATGAAATTATTGTTGAAGGGCAAAGGAAGGCCTTCAGTCTACAGACTTCCCCAAAGCAGTCTTTAGATGGGATTAAGAGGCATATTTCAGGAGCAATAAAATAACCAACCATTTCTAGGATTAAGTTCTCAAGAGCAAAGCTGACCATATCCTAAAACCATTTCATGGTTCTTCCAATACCTGCTTCTCAAAGCCGAAGCATTTTGATTTTGGTTTTGTTTTGGTATTTGAGTTAGAGTCTCACTTTGTCTCCCAGGCTGCAATGCATGGCACAATTACAGCTCACTGCAGCCTCAACCTCCTGAGCTCGGGTGACCCTGAGCCCAGCCTCAGTCCCCTGAGTAGCAGGGACTACAGGTTAGTGCCACCACACTCAGCTAGTTCTTTATTTTAAAAATTTTCTTGTAGAAATGAGGTCTTACTATGTTTTCCAGGTTGGTCTTGAACTCCTGATCTCAAGCAATCCTCTCACCTCAGCCTCCCAAAATACTGGGATTATAGGTGTGAACTACCATGCCTGGTTCCAAGCATGTTGGATAAGATATCTGATCACTTATGATCTGGTCTCCTTCCAGCAAATTTTTAGACTTCAGGGGAAAAAACAAACAGATAATTTCAGGGGCTCAGAATATGGCAAGTCTTCTTACAATCTGGCCCTCTGCTCACCCTTGCTCAGAAAGGGTTCTGTTTCACAGGTGTCTTCTCTAGGGAGGAATTGTTAATAAGTATTTTTTTCATCTTTTCCCTTCCACAGATCAGTTTTTAAATATCTATTCTCAGCATGCCTCTATATACGTGCATACCCCACCTCTAACTCGCTGCTTATCTATCGACCTGAAGTTCCTTTAATCTAGCTTAGTTTATGGATCCAGCAAAACTACTTCTATCCATATGATAATAACAACATTGTAATGATCAATTATGACATGGCTACAGTCAGGGGCACTAAACGAAGTCCTTTATCCACAAAACTCAATGGTTTTTAGATGCAAAATGCTCTTAAGAGTCTCTACACCTCTGTGACAGGAGAGGAGTTCACAGAGATCAGTTTATCTGATGGGGAGGAATATCCATTTGCCTTCTCCAGTTTCCACATTAGCCAGTCAAGGGTGAAGAAGGGCCCTTCCCTTCAAAACATGGTTGTGCTGGCTTCACTTATCAGACCCCCTGGCAGAACCAACTTTGATTAATACTCTATTATATGGGCAAAATGTGTTTCTGAGAATCGTTTATGACTTATTTTCTTAATACAATCATTTACTTATATGACAATAATAGTGATTTTAACATTCACGCCAAAGATCCATAAAATCAAGTTGTCATGTCTCTAAAAACTAGCGGTGGCAGACGTTCCCAAAGTGAATTCGCATATATGAGTGAACACAATAAAACACTTTCTCATATAATAAGTTGATACATGAATAGCAATGTTAAAAGCCCACCTCTCCCTCCACCTCAAACATTGCTTTCCAACACAATGCAGACAAGCTCTCCTATCAGACAGACTGGGATTGGAATTTTGATGGCTGTACTCATCAGTTGTGTGATCTTAGGCAAGTCATCTTGTACCATCATCTGTGAATGAGGCTGTTATAAGGACCTTGTATAAAGCACCCAGGACAGTTCTTACAAAGCAGGTTTCCCATAGATGTTAGTTCTCTTGGTCCAAGAGAGAAGAAACTAACCAGGAACAACGACCATATTTAGAGTACTTACTAGTCTAGCCGAAAGCAAATCTCATCTTTATAAGTTGTTTAGAGTCTGTTTTGTGGTGTTTATCAAATAGAAATAACCAGTCACCTTGATTCATCCCATGAGGGAGGTTTGAATATGTCCTCATCAAAAGGCTTCATCCAGCTCTAGACTTCTTGAGAACACCTGTCCTGGAGGTAAGTTATGAATGCACTATAGTACCCCTGGTCTAACCCAAGAACTAATTTTGAGTTATATTCAGAACTTGTGCATTAACAAGCAGCTGCAGGATGGTTAGTTTCTTGCATTTATCTAGAATAGCAAATGCAATCACAAAGCCTCATCAAGGGCTTTCATGTTCTTTACTTTCTGAGTATTATTTGAGGCATGAAAGCATTTTTATATTTACAGGCAACATTATATAATGGCTACATTGTGAATACTCAAGTTGTTCAGCACTGGCAGCTGCCACAAGTGAGCTTTGAATGTGCTTAATCAATGAACTATCAGGTTATGAAACCCACAAACATAAATAAACCCAGAAATTTCACTTTCTCTTCATTGTAGGACTGCTGATACCTAGCATGATGGATCGTACACTCCCTGCACCAAGGCCGATATTGAAGTCAGTGGTGTTATTAAAAGTCACGTCTTCCAGATGCCACCATCCATCAGAAGAGATTGCCTGGAAATGATTTGTCAGAGCTTGACTCACTGCTTTTGAAAAATCATCCCATGATGTCTGTTTGCGGATATTTAAAGCACATATTGTGTTTTCGCATTCAAAGTCATTGGAACTATAGTTGCTTGGTTGAATCTCACCCACTGAAATCCTTAAGGGTATTTTAAGAGCATCTGTGAAAAGAATAAAAAAATTAGAAGTTTAAAAAAATTCCTGACACACAAAAAATCACTAAAACTATTATATAAAATAAACAGATATGGACATTTAAAAAATAAATCAAAGGACAGCTATCTTATTTCCTGAAATAATATTACTTTGAATGTTCCTATGTTGGAGTAAACTTCGGTCTCCCAATCTCTTCGGTTTCTTTGTAAGTATGTTCCATACACTGTTCATCTCTCCCTGTGTCCTTGGCCTTTTCTATTTCATTGACTCTTTCCCCTCAGCAAGATTCTCAAGGTCTTAAAAAAAAGAGTCCTCCTTTGACCGTGAATTCCCTATATTCTCCTTCCTCTTTACTTTTACATATTATGTCATGAACAAGACAGGTTAAAGTTGTACAGGTTGGTATGCTTAGGATAGTGGCTTGAACTTGGGCTGAGCATCAGGTTCATCCTTCTACTAGCTGTGTGTACTTGGTAAATTGCCGTGATCTCTCTAGACCCAATTTACTCTTCCATAAAATGGAGGAAATATACATGGAATTGTTATGAAGAGTAAATGAACTTACTTTGGTAATGGATTTAACACACTGTTACATGGTAAATACTAGTAAGGATCTGATAAATAGTAACTGTACAGTAGGAAGGAGCTTTTTAAAATACTCTTTCCAATCGCTCTGTGACACTCACTGATGGAGGTTTCACTATGGTGGACAGCATCCTCATGCACTTCTGTCCCCATGAATTTAATTGTATACCTACTAAGAGTCACTTGTGTTTGTTTTTAAATTTTCTATGTCTGCTGAATTCATTACTATAATTAGTGAATTAAATATTTCATAAACTGATGAAATATCAGCTACTATTTCTATGAAAACTAGGCTGAACACTTTAATTTTTTTATTTTTATTTTGAGAAAGCAGAAGTTATTGAGAGAACAGAAAAACTCCCACAGTGGGAGGGGATCCCAGGGGGTGGCCCAGTTTAATACTTTACAAACACCCAAAGAAGTTGCTAAAAATATTCTCTTATGAGGTATAGATGAGACAACAATATACAATTAGAAAAAAGTAATAATCTCTGGACAGATACTGCTTTTAGTTTGCTTCACAAATGTGTTTAAGTTCTCAAACACTAGAGAATCATAGAAACCATAGATGATGCATTAAGGGTTTAGTTTGTTTAAACAAGATTATTTGGAATTTTAATCAGCAAAACCATACTACAGTAAAGACCTCTATCTAAAAGTTGGTGAAAGAATTAGAATGTATGCTTTAAAATTTACATAAAATGACTAAAACTATTTTTTTAATGATCCTCTTCTTAAACTAGGTTTTCCATTAACTGGCCAACTACTGGAATATTTATTTTCCAATTGTTAATTCCCAGTCATCTTTCTATCAGCAGCATCTGACACAGCAACTGGCACCTCTCCAAGCCTTGATATACTCCTACTGGATTTCTTGTACCTCACTGGATGTGCTTTAATGTTCCTTTGCTGTTCCTTCCACTTCTTCCAGACTTTCTAATGACAAAATGTTTCAGGGCTCCTTTCTCTTATATACATGTTTTGTGTGTTCACTCCCTTAGTGATCTCATCCAGTCTCATGACTTTAAATATCACTGATAGACTGCTGACTCTGAAATTTATATATCCAGCTCACACTCTTCTCTGGAATTCCTGCTGATATGACATCTCTGCACAGATATCCTAACAGACATTTCAAATTCATATATTCAAAACTGAACTCCCGATTGTCATTAGCAAAATCTGCTTCACCCACAGCCTTCCTCCTGAAAAATGCTGGCAACTCCACCTGCCAGAGCTCAGGCTGAATGCTTTGGAATTATCCATAAATCCCTACTCTGTGTTATACTTCACATTCAATCCATTAGGAAGTTCTGGTGACCTGCCTTCAGCTAGATCTAGAACTGAAGTACTTCCCACCACCTTATCTGCTACAATCCTAGATTGAGCACCATGATTCTTTCTCACCTGGAATACTACATTCATGTTCTAACAGGCGTTCCTGATTCTATCTATGACTTCTTATAGTCTATTCTTAACAAAGCAGCCAGTGATATTGTTAGAATCCTGTCATTCCTACACTTAAACAGTGAAATGGCGACCTTAAGTTCTTACAATGGTATACAAATTCCAACAAGATCAGGACCCCTGCCCTACCCTGTAACTGTTCTGACCTGTTTTCTTACTTTTCTTTCCTTGCTTATTCTAACCCAGTCATCCCACCCTCCTTTCAGTTCCTCAGGGATACCAGGAACACTCTACCATAAAGCCTCTATCCACTTGATGTTAAACTCCTGCTTCAGATAACCACAGGACTGTTCTCTTCACCTCCTTCAAGTCTTGGCTTAAATATCTTATCAGTGAGCCTACCTTGACTACCATATTAAAAGTTGAACCCACCCTCAGACTCCCAATGCGCCTTGATCTTTTCTATAGTATATTTTACTATCTTGCAATATCATATCATAAAATATTTCCGATATTTATTGTTCATTTGTCTCTTAATGTTAGAATATAAGCTTAATGATCATGACAATCTTTTTTTTAAAATTATCTGACTTACTCCAAGTGGCTAAGACAGTGACTGGCACAGACAGGAGCTCAATAAATATTTATTGAGTGAATGGATACAAGGGTAGAACTCTACGATCGTTTTTTACCACTGTTTTTCTATGTTGTTCCATTGCTTAAAATGGTCAGTTTCTGCCTACATAAATGCATGACACTTGTCTCCCTGTTGGCAACAACTTCCTATTTGCCAAATGCAATTGACTTTCTTTTTAACCCTTACAGCCTAGGGTATTTGACACTATTGAATCACTTTCTCCCGTGGGAACCCTTCTCCTAACTTGGGCCTGATTACACACTATTGTTTTCTGGCTCTCTTCCTTTCTAATAATTCTTAATCTTCTTTTTGAGTCTTTTTTTCTATTCTGCTTTCAAAAATCAGAGTTCCTCTGGGCTTGGTCTTCAGTTTTCTCCTCTCCTCACTCTACACCTTGTTCTAATAGCGTACCTGTGCCTTGAACCATGACCCTCTTCTCCAGTCCTGCCCCTATCCAGTTAGTTCAGGCCCTCATTTCCCTTCTACTGGGTACCAGTAGTGCTTCCCCTCTATGACATCCTGTATCAAGACAACATCTTCACATTTCAGCCTCTTACTTCCTTGCTTGCAATCATCTGACTGTTCTTCAGTATCCGTCAGACCTTACCCATAGGATGGAGTCAAAAGGAATACAAGGGCTTTTATGACCTGACACCAGATTCCCTTTCCAAATTCACCTGCCTCTTGGCCCCTGCACTCCAGCCATAGTTAAACACTTGTAGAGACTCCCAAGTACCATCCTTTTGATGCCTCCAGAAATGCTGTGGCTTCACCTGGAATGACTTGACTTTCAGTCTTTTCTTGGCCCAGCCCTTCCATTTTCACTTTAGTCTTTCTTGGGGGGAAGTTCTTACTTACCTCCCCATGCATATTTTTACAGCATGTCTCACGTAGAGGTACTTATAACAAATATAGGCTTGGAGCTGTATTTTTAAAATTTTACCCAGATGGTTTTATATTATGCTTTTATAACTGACTTCTTCACTCAACATTTTCAATGTATCTGTGGTGAGGTATATAGCTAAAATTTATTTTTAAGTGCTATTGGGTAACTTTAAAATATGAATTTTCTATAATTTATTCTATTTGTCCATTTCCCAATAGACTTCCATTTAGAATGCTTCTAGTTTTCTACTGCTACACACAATGCTGTAACCCACGTTTTCATATGTCTCCTGGTACACACATGCAGAAGTATCACTAGCTTCTGACTTAGGTGAGGAATAGAAAATGAATGGACTTCTTTGACACATTCTGCTGGTTAATACTTATTCTAAATAATTCATTTGCAGTCACAGCTTCTACTGACAATTCTATGGAATTGATCACAATTTAAATGCATATCCTGTTTTTTTTTCCTTCTCACAGATTGTCAGAATCACAAATCTTAGAAAGTCCTTAAGAAATAATGCACTCATTTGACTCAGGCATATGAATAATTATTATCCTTTGTTAGCTGGTGAGCAGATTGGGGTCAGGGAAGGTGAAGCATCTTGCTTGAGGTTAAGCAGACCTCAGAGAAGGGTACTGGGATTGAGATGTCCTTTCCCCTAAGTCACACTACCTAGTGTCCAGTCTTCCACAGGATGTGCACTTACAAATCCTACCAACATGTCCAAGACAGAAAGGACACTTGGGTCTCCAATATTAGCTTTTATTTCTTAAAGTCCTCCTTAATTCCCACATTCAGGCTCCCGCTCCTCAGTGCTTACCATTTCCCTCTCCACCACACTGGTTTAACTTCTGATACCTAATTAAAATTTTTTGATGCTTGATCTGTGCCTTGAACCATGACTCTCTTCTCCAGTCCTGCCCCTATCCAGGTAGTTCAGGCCCTCATTTCCCTTCTACTGGGTACCAGTATTGCTCCCCTAGTATAGACTCTCTATAGGTTGACTTCTGCCATACAGAGCTGCCTACATAATTCCAAAATACCATTTGAATCATACTACACATTGTCAAGAATCTTAGTAGCTTGTCTTTATCTTTCATATAAAATCAAAACTACTGAAACCAGCAATACATGGCCTGAAACCTCAACCCCTCTACCCCATTCTTTCAATTCCCCACCTTGAATCACATCCCTACCCCAGCCAGGCCAAGACACTTTTTGTTTTTCACATCCAGCATACCATAGCTATCTATATTTATTCCTTGTAGTTTTTCAATGTCTAATATCAAAAAGTAGGCTTTAAACAAATGATAGCATGTACATTCCAGAATAAGTTTATAACCCAACAGAAACTTTTCCATGTTTGTTATTAGGTTAGGCTGAGTTGTACATATTAATAAAAAGCTAAAATGTGAGAACTCTTATACATTGAATAAATCTCGGAAAAGGCACTGCCTAGACAATGAGTAGCGATTCAGAAGTTTAAGACCCTGAAAGCTAGATTTTAATGCAAAATAAAAGTCTTTTTTCCCCCACAACAACAACAAAAAATTACTCAGGTTTAGAGAATTTCATGATTCTCTTTTATCTGTCTGTATTAAAGTATCCTTATACAGTTTGCATATAGGCGTCTTTGCCATTCTGAAGTTTTCTTCACAAGGTAAAAGAATACAAATGTATGTATTACATTGAATATTAACACAGGGCTTCAATTTTAAAATTCTGCTTATCCTAAAATTGAATGGCTGATAGAGTTGGTTGATTGGATGGACCGGGTGATAATCTTGATATAGAGGCCAAAATGTTTTGTAAGATCCAGCAGTCCATATTCATAAACCCATATGTGATTCTTTCATAAAATATGCTGAGAAGCATATACCTTTAGAGCTAGAAAGGACCCAACAGATTGTCAATTATAGACAGGTGGGCACCAGATGCTATCGGACAACCAATTTGCCTGGCTCATATGATCAGCTGATGCAGAGTACACAGCTGGAGTTTCTCAAACCCTGCCAGTCTAATGTTTAGAAAGACAATCTAAGTCAGAAGAAAACAGCAATAATTATTTAGATTGCTCTTCTAAGTCAGCACAATACAAGGAAGATCTAGCATTATTTGAGTTGCAGTTAGTTCTGCAAAAAAAAGTCATCCTACATGGAAAAAGAATTAATTATCACATTTATAATCAACAAAGTCCTTTTGCAATAGCTAGGGCTCCAAAAAAGGTTAAGAAGATGAGAAAACTGTGGTTGCAGTATTTTCCCCATTGTCCCAGAGGCCCCAGCAGCATAGAGGAAGGAGGGACAAGAGGCTGTGAACACCACTCACTCAGATTCTCCAGCAAATGCTTGCAGTCATCAGTGGCAGCATCATGCACAGTCCGATTGCACTTGTCTCTCCTTTCTGGCTCGAGCCCTCCATGTCTACACAAGATTTCTAGGCAGTTCTGTAAAGACAAAAGCTCTATTACCTCGACGTCCAAATGAATTAACTTGAGTGAAACACCCAAGAGAAAAAAGCCAGCTGTCTATAACCAGCCAATCAAGAATTCACAGCTAGAAATCTTATTTCAATTCCATAAACCCAAATATACAGATTAATCTTAGATTAATCGAAACAATGTCTAGAAATGCAAAGCCAAGAGGGCTTCATTTAAGTGCAAATCATAGGATCATAGCATTGCTCCACAGAACAGCCTCTTCGGTTTCCAAAAAAAGAAAAAAAGAAAAGGGCAGAAAAGCTTACTAATCTCTCAGTTAAGATTAAGAACACAATTGACTTCAGCAGACATTCTTCATTCATGATAATTTGGCAATACAGGACAAAAAGACTCTTTGTTATAACAGGATGCACCTTGCTGTCTTTTAGACCACAGACTGTTTTCCTGGTAAGATAAATGCAGAGCTTCAATTTTAACAGTTCTGTCCAAGACTCCTCATGAGCACATTTGTATTTGAGAGCTTATACTGCCTTATATTTTTAAATTTGAAACTATGAATACCACATTGAGCTTTTAGAAAATATTCCCTATAGATATTAAAGCTACTTTCCTTCTTCTTTTCAGCATTTTTTCTTTTGTGTTGCTTAAGGAAATCTCCATTCAAAAAATGCCAGTAATTATGAACAGAAAGATTATGGTCCTCCATAATCTTTTAAATGCAAATAAAAAGTCTATATATATACATATGTTTATATATAGTGTATGTGATATACTTACACACATGCATATTTTCTAATAAATGATTGCATAAGTAATTGCAAGATATCACACCAGGCATTTACCAAGGAACTCTACTATATCAACCTTTGCTGCTTCATGACTTGTTGGATTTCCCTCAAGAATAAGCAGAAAACTGAATAGACCAGAAACCATGAAAAAGAACTAACAAACAAAAGAAGCAATGTTCTTCCCATCACTCCTCTAAAATACACACACACACACACACACACACACACACACACACACACACACACACACACACACACACACTCTTCCTCTCCCTCTCTCTCCCTCAGAGGCACGGGGTTGACTTGCCAGGCAGTCTGAAAAGGCTTCTCTAATCTAGAGTAGTCTTTTTTCTGTTTTGTAAAACAGCCTTTTTTCCCTTTCTAACATAAAATATTTTTTAGAGAAATATAATACCCACATAGAAAACTACACAAATAAGTGCACAACTTAAAGTACGCTCACGAGGAGGACACGTTTGTGGAAGGAGCTCTGTGGACATCCCTTTATGCTCTGTTTCAACCACCAGCTCTCCCTTCTCTCTCCAGAGGTCACTGCTATTCTGACTTCTAATAGCAGAGACTGGCTTAGCCTACTTTTGAACTTGATATAAGCGAAACCATACCGCAGGCACACTTTTTAATATTTGGCTTCTTTCATTCAATGTAATGTCTCTAAGATTCATTCATGTGTTGGGAGTGATCATAATTCATCTTCATTTAATGCATGATTACTCTGTGATATTCCATTGTAGACTACCACAATTTACTTCTCCATTCTCTTGTTGATGGACTTTTGGGTTCTACTGTGAACATTCTAGAACATGTCCTGTGGTGGACATGCGTTGAGTGGATACTAGAGCTGGACTTCTGGGCACAGGGCTTGCTTCTGTTCCACACTGAAACACACTGCAAAGAGCTTTCAAAAGTGGCTGTACCAATTTCCACACCCACAAGGGTTGTATATGTGAGTTCCAGATGCTTCCTATTGCCTCCAAACATACTTTAAAATGCAATAATGAGCTCACAAGAAAGTACAGGGAATCCCTTGGGGCCAAAAAGGAAAACAAAGAGTAAGCTGAAACCACCAATTAAGTGAAACTTTAACAGGAAGCCAATGCTGGTTTGAGGGCAAAGCTGATATGGAGAATATTTTTGGATGCTGGGGGGATGGGAAACAGAGGAGTTGAACCAGAGGACTCCCGAGTAGAGAAAATCTGTCTGCCTGCAAACAGAAGTGACTAGGACATTTGTTTCTCACTGCCTGGTCCTGCTCAGGTTGGATGGATCCCCTCTAAAACCCGTCATCTAAGGCTGGCAGTCTGTACCCCATAAATACGTCAATTTTTATGCATCCATTAAAAATAAGATAATACTTTCAAAAAATCGAGTAGTCTGGCTTTCGTGGGTCTGGAGTTCAGATGTAAGAAATCACTGAGCTAAGAAATTAACTGAAAACAAAGTCAAATCATAAACAATAGTTTGCATCAAGTTGTTATTACTAATTTGGACAAAACCAACAAATGAATGATAAGATGTTGATTTAGAAATTAATGCTAATAAGAAGCTTCAGTAGAACGCAATTTGAGAACTCACTTTGTAAATTCTCAAGATAGTAAGAGATAAAATAACACATTTATTTTGCAAGTTAGTACTTGTAGCAGAAGTAGGTGTCAAAACAGACCTGAATTCTAATCCTTTCAAAAAACATGATTATCTATAACTGTTGGTAAATCATTTAACATTTTTCTCCTTAAGTTTCCTCATCTGTGTTTCAAATATTTGTATCTCTTAGGGTTGTTATGTGACTTAAATGAAATATGCACAAAAAACTCTTGTGGTCTTGGCACGTACTGATAATCATTAGCAGCTGTTATCATAATCAACCTCATCATCATCTATTAGAAAGCAGTACAAACACATAGTTAACTAGCGAGGTATTACAGCACATCCAGATAATTCGTGACGTTACTTCAAATTACAAACAGACATGCTAGAAGGTGTGACACAAGTTTGTAACTCTCCTAGGATAAAATTCTTTTATTTCTGACCTTCAAAGTGGGTTATTGCTAATTTATATTACACTCAGGTAAGTCAGTGGGCAATAATATAGGCGGTGACTTTCTCTTTAAGGAAGCATGAAACACCAGCCCCCACGAGGGTGGTTCATATCCAAACACTGCTGCAAGCGTAAACTCTACAGTGCTGTGCTGGCTCCATGGGAATGCCAAGATGAAAACCCTGACCTCTTTGACGACAACAACAGCCACAACAAAGACTCGAGCACATATTAAGTCTCAGTCACAGTTCCTGCACTTCTCAAGTATTCAAGGCTCATTTTACAACTTTATGAATAAGGGACGAAGCCCCTTCGTGCCTGGTGCCATGGTAGGGGTGAGGGTCCTGACGATGAAGAAGACAGAAGTTTTCTGTCTTACGGAGGAACGTCAGGTGTCCCAAAGAGTTAGACATGGGGAAATACGCACAAGAAAGGTGGCTGCTGAGTGGTGTTTTACTGCATGGAGGAGTAGGAGGAGGGAAAGGAGGAGAAAAGTATCTACACACTTTCCTTGCTGGGTGGGACTGTGTGAAGGGGACAGATGCTGTGATATCAGTCACTACTGAAAATAGATTCCCAAGGGGCCTAAACTGGGCAGGGTGTCCTACCTAAGGGACAAGGAGCTAAGGATCTGGATGAACGAGGTTAATCCTAAATCTTGCTAATTAGGGTACAGAGACTTTAAAAAGTAGTGGCTTAATGTTATTTAAAAAAACCAAAAAACAATAGATGCTGGTGTAGATAAGGAAAAAAGGGAACGTTTATACACTGTTGGTGGGAGTGTAGATTGGTACAACCTCTATGGAAATCGATATGGTGATTTCTCAAAGAACTAAAAGCAGATCTACTCTTAGATCCAGCAGTCCCACCACTAGGAATCTACCCAAAGGAACAGAGGTCATTATAAAGAAAGACACTGCACCTACAAGTTCATCACAAAACAATTCACAACTGCAAAGATGTGGAATCAATCTAATTGTCCATCAACCAATCAGTGGATAATGAACATATGGTATATATACACCATGAAATACTAATCGGCTATAAAAAAGAATGAAATAACGTCTTTCACAGCAACTTGGATGGAATTGGAGAACATCATCCTAAGTGAATTAACTCAGGAACAGAAAACCAAACACTGCATATTCTCACTTATAAGTGGAACCTAAACTAAGGACCTGCACAGACATAGAGAATGGTATCATGGGCACTGGAGACTCAGAAAGGGGAGGGAGGAAGTGGTGGAGAAATGAAAACTCATCTACTAGATACAATAAATATACAGGTGGAGGTGGTGGGTACACTTAAAGCCTGGACCAAACACTATATGTACTTCCTAAAGCTATAAAAAAAAAAAAAGAAGAAGAAGAAAGGAGCTGGTTAGGTTTCAGCTTCCACTTTCACTCACATTCCGCTTGTCAGAATGTAGGTGTGTGGCCATAGTTCCAGGTAATGGGGACTGGAGATTGCAGATTTTATGTCGGGTGCCCATGGGTCCAGCTAGAAATGGAGAGAAAATGACCTAATAGTTCATTATAAGGCAATATGATTCCTTCCTTCCTTCCTTCCTTCCTTCCTTCCTTCCTTCCTTCCTTCTTTCTTTTGATTTCAATAGCTTTAGGGGTTACAAGTAGCTTTTGGTTACATGGTTGCATTGTACAGTGGCAAAGAAATCTGGGCTTTAAGTGTACCCATCACTCCCACCTATGTACATTGTACCTGAAAGGTGATTTTTCATCTCTTTCCCCCTTCCCTCGCTTCCCCTTCTTATTCTCCAATGTCCGTTATACCAGTGGTCCCCAACCTTTTAGGTATCAGGAACTGGTTTCATGGAAGACAATTTTTCTTCCATGAGGTGGAGGGTGGGGGTAGTTCCACTGAGGTGGAGGGTGGGGGTAGTTTCAGGATGATTCACGTACATAACATTTATTGTGCACTTTATTTCTATTATTACATTGTGATATATAATGAAACAATTATACAACTCACCATATAGAAAAAAAAAGAGGTGCAGATGGAAGTGGTAAATATAATAATGGGTGGGCCACATATGGGCTAAAATAAGTGTTGGATTCTGACTTGAAGCTTGCCACCAGATGCAGCTGTACAACTGAAGTACATCAACTCATGTGCCACTCACTGATAGGGTTTTTATGAGTCTT